CTTCCGGAAGGTATGGATGCCGGAGGGCTCTGTAAGGCGAAAAAGAGGTGTAGGCCGACGTCGAACGATTCCGCAAGGACTTGAGGCGAAGGGCTGCGGCGGCTTCCGCACGCCCCTAATCACCTTGGTTCTTCCTCTTCCTCTCGCCGAAAGATGGTTTCCAGGCCTTCTGGAAATCGGCGGGAATGAGGAGGACGTGGAGGGGAGGGGCGAACGATGCGGGTCCGTTTTTCGAACAGAAGGCCATTCTTGGGCCGACTGTTCTAAGCCCTAATTTTTCCTTCCTTCGTGCGACGGTTCGTGTGCCGCTCCGCCGCGTGAAACGGCCGCAACCTTTTCGGTGCATGCCGGACGAGAGAGGAACTGTCACGCGGCGTTTCAGGCGCCGGCTGCCAGTTCGTCACGCGAAACGGCCGCACCATTTTCGGTGCGTGCCCGACGGGAGAGGAATCGTCACGTGGCAGTTTCATACACCGTTCGTGCCGGTTCTGGTGTCCAGTTCGGGACCACGGGTTGGCTTGCGCTGGTTCAGGACTGCGGCTCGGCTCGCGCCAGTTCGGTTCCGCGGCTCGGCTCACGCCGGTTCCGTTACGCAGCTCGGGTCACACCGGTTCGAGTGATCGGCTCAGCGCGAGCCGGATAGCCAGATGGCATGCTGGCTCGGCATAAGCTGATCTAGTTAGCCAACGCGCCGGTCTACGGAGATGACATGATAATGATGACATCAGCATTTGGTGTGCTAACGTCATGCACATAAAATAATTTATTTCCGACATCATTTTATTTCTGAAATATTCTTGATGATTTTATTTTATATTTTTTTAAGAGTTATTTGATATTTTCAATGGTTATGTTTACATTGAGTATGATTAAATGTCAAATAACTATTATTATTCAAATTTTGGTACATGTGATATTTTGGAATTATTACTTGAAGTAACATCCTATCAAAGTAGGCTCTCTTGTGGATATTAACTTTTCTAACGTATGAGATGTTGTGTATGTGATTTTGTGGATACTAACTGACCTAAAGAAAAGTTTAGTATTTTATAAATTACATATAATTGTGATAATAAATATGTGATAATTATTTAGTATTTTCATGTGAATAATAAGTCGATCCAAAGAAAGATTTATTATTTGACATAAGTTTATTGTCAATGTTTATTTGTCACACCAAAATATTACTTACAGTTAATATTTTTGTTCAAAGATAAAGTATTAATATTGCACTCAATATCTTGTGATGAGAAGTACCATTATTTGAAAATCAAATTACTTATGTGAACTTTATATTATTTTGTATACAGTTTCAAGTTATGCTTCTATTATTTCTGTCTAGATAAACTCTATTCCTATGTTAAATGGCGCAAACTTGAAGACATAGAAAGAGAACGTTATGATAGTTCTCATGAGGACAAAAGAGATATGGCTAAGTGGGATCAATTGAATTGCATGAGTTTTATAATCATGAAGCATGTCATTCTAGAAGTCTTCAGGGACACTTTGTTTGAAGAGGCCACTATAGTAAGAATTTTTCTTGAAGAACTTGAGAAAATTTTTACTAAGAACAATAAGATCAAAACAAGTACGATTTTAGAAAAACTTATTCCTATAAAGTATAAAGGCAAGGAAAATATAATAGTATACATTCTCGAGATATCTCATCTTACATCAAAACTAAAGACATTAAAGTTAGAGCTATTTGAAGATCTACTAGTACAACTTAATTTTGATTTCTCTTCTTACATAATTCAATTAATTTAAGGTGAGCTATAATTGTCAAATGAACAAATGGTCCTTAAATGAGCTCATATCATATTGTGTGCAAGAAGAAGAAAGGTTGAAACAAGATAGACATAAGAGTGTTTATTTGGCCATGACCTCTAAAAATAAAATCAAGAAAAGGTCTATGGACAATAAAGCTACAAGTGGACCACTATTAAAGAAACAAGAAATAAAGCAAGATAAGGAATCTACTTGTTTCTTTTGCAAGCATGGTGAACACATTAAGAAATATTATACAAAGTATCATACTTGGCATACAAAGAAAGGTGACCTTCTCACTTTGGTTTATTCAGAAATTAATTTAACTTTTGTACCTTTGTACACATCATGGATAGATTCTGGTGTTACCATTCACATAAGTGTGTCCATGCAATAATGAAATCAATTGATGATGAAAGATACATCTATTCGGGTGATGACAATGCAATAATAGTGGAGGCAATATGGACTTTTAGGTTATTATTAAAGACTAGTCATTATTTGGATTTGACTGAGACTTGTACCGTATTTTAGATAGAATTTGATTTTTGTTTCTAATTTAGATAAATTTAGTTATAGTTATCTATTTAGAACTAGAAAATTTAGTCTTTTTGATGATTCAAATCACATTGATACCGGTGCTTTATTAAGTCATGATAACCTATACTTGACATAATTATTTCTTCTAATGAAATCCTGCATATCAGTTTAAGAGTACAAAAAGAAAATTAATTAATAAGAATTTCACTTTATTATAACACTAGAGATTAGGTCATATCTCTAAAAAGAAAATTAATTGACTCGTGTTTGATAGAATTCTTGACCCACTTGATTATAACGATTTTGACACTTGTATCAAATGTATCAAGGAGAAAAGAACAAACATAAAGAAAATAAGTGTCAATCGAGTTTCAGATGTCTTAGAACTAATACATGGATATTTGTGAACCATTCCTTACGGCCTCTTGGAAAGTCAATTATATTTTATTACATTCATAAATGATTATTCTCAATTTGATTAATTGTATCTTATTTATCAAAAATCTCAATCACTCGATGTGTGTAAAAAATATAAGGTCAAAGTTGAGAATCAACTCAACAAATGGATTAAAAGGTCATCAAATCAGACCGTAATGGTGAATACTACAATAGATATGATGGATGAGGTGAACAACATTCAGGACCTTTCATTAAATTTTTAGAATAATGTGGTATCGTCCCACAATACACCATGTAAGGATCTCCTAACATGAATAATGTTGTTGAACGACAAAACAGAACACTTAAAGATATGATAAGAAGTCTGATTAGTCAATCTATCATATCAGATAACCTCTAGGGAGAAGCACTAAAGGCTGTAACCTATTTGCTTAATTGGGTTCCAACTAAGGTAACTATTAAAATTCCTTATGAATTTTGGACAGATAATAAGCTTAATTTAAAGTATTTGCACATTTAGGGTTGTTCAACAGAGACAAGACCTTACAGACCTAATGAAAGAAAACTTGACTCGAAAATAGTTAATTGCTACTTTGTTGGATACCCGTAAAGGTCTAGGAGGTATAAATTTTATAATAAATCAACCATTATATTTTTCAATAATAATAGGAGCTTGACGAAGTCTAAACATATAGACATCAAGTTTTTAGTTATTAAATAAAGAGTTCAGAGTGGCCAAATGTCTATTGAGCATATTACGACAAACTCTATGGTAGTAGATCCATTTACTAAGAGACTGTCACCAAAGGTTTTTCATGAGCATGTTGCTCATATGGGTGTAATACCTAATGAGGATATATAATTTTAATATGAGTTTATATTTGATGCTCATATAGTTATAAACATATACTTTGACTATTTCATACATGAATAAAGTTTAGAATTATTCTCTCTAAATGTAGTTGTTTGATCTCTATTTAGAATAAGGAGGACTTAGAAATATACATATATGAGTCACATTTCATGTAATTTCTATACTACATATTCATATTGGATCTATGTTGTTCATTATATCGATATACGTGATTATTGTGAGTTCAGTTATGCAAAAAATGTGAATAAAAACTCCTTTAGTTCTATATTGGTATAATAATGGACAAGATTATTAGAGATATCTTTGACAATGATAACAAAAAATTTGAATTCATAAGGTCATAATGTACAATATTAAGTTATCATATATATTTTATCAAAGTGAGAGATTGTTGAAATTAATCTCAATATGAACAATTATATATATAAATTGTATATTATGGGGTTATCATTGAATTAATCCCACTTAAAGTGATTCATTGAAGTTTGTGTTGAGATTACAACCTCTCTTGTAAGTATGTACATAAATATAAATATATGTAGAAAATAAATCTTGTTCTAATTTTATGATGGACTAAATTAGAAAAAGACACCAAGAGGTTAACCATCTCTTGTCTATAAATAGGGGTCATGATCCTTGGGTCACACGTCATCACTCTTATAACATCCCATCTCTCTAGAATAAGTCATTAGATGACTCCTGATAAGTCTTCATTATCATGAGTTAATAATTAGTAAATAATATAGTTTTAGCCTTAACTCATGATAAATAGACTTATATTTATGTTAAAGTGTGAAAAGTGGTTTTTCAGTTGATTAATGTGAATTTTTAGGTAATTATGTGATTTTACATGAATTTATATGATTTTTACAGTCTTGCTTTTGAGATAAATGAAGAAAAAGAAATAAAAAATAAAAATAAGACAAAATGAGGGAGACTCACCAGCCAGCCGGGCCCACAAGCGGGTCAGAAGCTCAGTCAGGGAGTAGCCGCGAGCAGGGGCTCGAGCAGCTTGGACCGATAGGGGCACGTGTGTGCCACTCCCCTTCCACGTCACCGGTGGCCAGCCAGCTATGGGGCAAGGAGTGGTCGTACACGCAAAAGAAAGAACTTTGCTTAGAAATGTAACATTACTATATATTCGTCCGAAAAATCGGCGCACAACCAATGTGGGACTAAACCCACATCACACCTTCCTCAGAAGGGGCGGACATCCAGCGCGGGTTCAAATCCTCCCAGAGTCAAAAGTCATATATTTTTATCTGATTATCGCGACTTTCCTGCAGATCGCCGGTGAAAGATTAAGCAACGAGAATCGCTGGATCATCGGTGAAAATCTCATCAACGCGATTCGCGGAGCATTGCTACTAAAAATTGTTGAACGATTCGCGATAAAAGGATCGCGAATCCATCGAGTAAATCATCTCCGATTGATCGACGAACAAGCCATCGTCGGGAAGAGGATGATCCACTGGGAGACGAGTCGCCACCTCCTGAGAGTGTACCAAATGCGATGAAGAGCCTCCTCTTGCTATGGGGACCTAAGGATGAAGCTCCCTGACACGTGCCCCACCTCCATCCAACTCCTCTCCGTCGGGTGACAGCCGCAGGAGAGCCGCAAAGTCGCTGTTTTTCCGCTCCGTCGGGTGACAGCCACTGGAGACGAGTCGACGACCTATTTTCATTAATCTCTAGACTTCACAAGGAGATCTAGAGATTGCCCACATCATCTTTGTCCAAGGAGAGCCTTTGAGGCCATGGACACTGCACGACGATCCTCCCGAACGCTCAGGATTCCGGTGCATCGCCAACACATCGCCGTCGCGACGCCGGAACTCTATTTTCCTGCTTTCAACTTAATTTCCGTTTCATTTAGTGATAATTTGTTGATTTTAAATTTACCCAGATATACTTCATTTCATTACGATTCTTCCGGCTTTTACAGATCTTAATTTGATCAATTAAATAGTTTGTAATCGCTTACGTAAGAATCGTCGGGCGGAACTCTGTTTCTGCCCGATTCGCGTTCGCTGGGTGCTGACGTCATCCTGACGTCCTCACCCTTATTTCTTTTTTCGTGAATTTTAAATATATTTCCTTTTTCTTTCCTAGTATAAAATTCATAGAAAATCGTATTCATTGATAAAAAATCTGAATAATTACCAAATATTATATTACATCCCTGTGATCGACTTGGAAAATTACTGCTCTTTTTGGAAGTTTTATTAAATTATAATTAATATATTTGTTCAGAAATACTTCTAAATATTTAAAAAATCATATTTTCTAGTTTTATAAATTTTAGATTTGCGTGATTTAATATACAACGACTGAGTCACGTCAACTCCCCTGTGCTGATCTAAAAGGACATCTTCATACTTGCACCTTCATAGATTCATGTATGGTTTCAATCCATTCTCATTATATTTTATCATCTCTATCTACATCAACACAAGATCCTTCAAATTTAACATAAAAATCTTTCACATAGACTACTTACTTGTGTGGACTCAAATCACTCCATCAGTTAATATTTGAGGCCTCATGAGTTGACAAAAGGACTTCTAATGTTAGTCTAGTGGTATCTACCAAGACATCATCCTTGAAGCTCACTCCTACAACCCATAATTTATCTTCCTTAGTCATGGGTTGTACTGCAAAGCACAACTAGGTCTTGTATATCCACCCTCTAGGGTTGTTTCCATCGAGTACAAGGAGCTCCAACCATCTACCCCCTTTCCAAACATCTACATAACCCATTGGCGCTTCATACCTAGGATGTTCTGATTAGCATAATCCCCATGGTGCATCTCTCCCTTGACTTGTTGTTGCTTCCTTCTATCTGGATTTCTCTTCCACTAGTTGATTCCATACAATATTCTATAGATCTGTTTTCACTCGCATGAGCTGCAACATTCCTTGGTGTATTCCATCCATCTATGCGTTCATTTCGACCTTTATCTCTACTAGTCTGTTCTTCACCTTTGAAATTTCCCTCTCCCATACTTCTGTACGAATTTCTTGTAGCTTTGACACCATTTCTTGACGCTCTAATACAAGATTAATGAACCCCCTTCATTCTGATGATAAACTCCATGGTTAAATAGTGATAAGAAGATCTAAGAATGACTTTTCCTCCTTACAATGAAAATGACACTTTTCCTTTTTCTCTTTTGGGACCGGTATAACCTTCCCTCACAAAGGTAGAATGGTCCTTCAATGGTGGGCTGCTGGTCTCTACGGGCTCATTTCTTGTGCCTTGAGTATGTAATGCCTATTGGGGCCCCTACACATATTTTTGCCCAAATCACTATTCTCCTTGGATTTTTCTCTAAGGAGATCAGAAATAATAGAGGTAAACAAAATTGAAAATGTGGTTACCATTAGTCCATTCGTTCCTAGGAGCTGGGACATCATGTGAGGAAAATGTGAAGGACTTGATCAATCACTATAGTTATAAGATGGCATAGAGAATGGTCATGGCCATTGAGAGAAAAGCTTGCTGATCGTGCATTAATCTCCAATATAGCCATTAATCTCGTCTACTCTTTTTGCTGCTATTCTATACAAGATATAATTGAAACAATAACCATCCTAAGTTGGATTGGGTGATAGATTAGTGGGCCGGCTAATTCCATCCATGTCCTTGGGATGCACGTTTTTCTCGCAGACATGTCACTTTTGGCCTTCAACTAGAGCATGTCCATTAAGGATTTGGGTCTCATGTAATTGCCTTTTTTCTCCCAACAGTCGTAGGAATGTGATATTTATTGTGTGACAACAAGCATTTTTTGGGCAGGGTTATATATTGTGAGATTTTTTCGAGCTCGCATGACACTTGTTGGGACAATTGTTTTATGTGAAATTATGATTTAGAACAGATTGTCAAGAAATACAAAAGGTAGAAAAGAGCAGTCCAACATCCCAAACAGTTAACTAGCTTAGAAGATGTAGCTTAGAGGGGCTTTAAAAAAGGAAAAAAAATATTGAATGCCCCAGTATGATTTTTGTGGGTAGTTGGTTAGCTATTAGGACACTTTTTCTTTGAGTAGGCAAAATAATCTTTGTTTCAATCCAGCACCTCCTTTTTATTAGTTTTTTCTCTGACTATATTTTACTTTTAAGCAACTAAAAACTAATTTTTTGCCTATTTAAGAGGTCATGTACCAAAGAATGACCACATGTTTTTGAATGGTAGAAATTTCATTTTTTCTTCTCCCTTGAGAATTCAGGGTGATTTACCAAATTCCTAGGAGATTCAAGAAGCATAGATCTTGTTCTTTGTGGATTTAAGAACAATCTCTGATTTTTCAACTTCACACTAAATTTTGTGCCATATGCATGATATTTTAATTTGAATTCTTTTGGTCATTAGAATAATAATTGGGCATATAGCCCAAGTGGTTATTTATTTATTATAGTCATGCACATGGTCATTTTATTATTAAAAAGGGTAAATTACAAGGATTTGAGACATTAAATGACAACCAAAACACAATCAGTCAAGAAGTTTCGGTTCAGCAAACAACAAACAGTTAAAAATCAATCATTTTTTTCATTTAAAGGCCTATTGTTTCAAATGACCTGGATCTCTTGCTGCTGAGATGGAGCACATCTATATATAGTTATATTACTCCAAGTTTTTATGGTGGAAAAAAAATTAAGGTAGGAAGAGAATCAAGTAGAGGGAGAGAGGAGTGGACAGAAGATATCAATGAACTACAGTCCCTGGTTTTCATGGCATGTTGGTCCCAAGTCAATCTCTCAACTCACTGAATATTATCTTAACATAATGTTTTCTTGATGTACATAATGCATTTTCTGAGTAGAGTACCTTGATCAAGTCATTTCATGCCTATCATAAACATGGAACAAAAGTTTGATGCTAATATTTTGATGTGGACTTTCAGAATATACAAAGTTCTAAAGTGTATATGAAGGAATCAATGGTGTTTTGTAAAAATAATATTAAGTGGGAAGATACCAAATTAGCATTTAAGTATGTGTACACAAGCCTCAATGTACGCATGGAATGATCGACGATAGTGAAAAAGCGTACTTCCATACTTCATAAATGTTTTGTTCTTTTATGTTTAACAAATCTAGCTTCGGTTTATGAAAAATTGATCCAGCATCCCATAGGCTGGTATAGGTCAGTTGATATAATTACATTCTTAAATTTTAGGAATGACGTCCTTAACAAGTAACCATGTCAACATGAGAAAGTTGTGAGAATAATGTGGTAAACATGAAGGTGATTTAGAAGATTAACACTTAATTCGTTAGATGAGACAATTTACTCATGGTTCATCCATCATATTCTTTTAGATTTATCTTTGAATTTTCTTATGATGATGATACTAGAGATAGCAAAAATATGGGGACCAAACAGCAAGGTATTAACAAGTTATTGATGATTTTATTTTGTGAGTACAGAACTAGGTAACAATGATTGTACAGTGAAATAGTTCACAAGTTCATGTAATATTGTGTGGAGATTAAGTTTTAGTGAAGCTACTTAGTTTTTTGTTAATATCATTACATTAAAATTCTAGTGGAAGAATTTTTAGTTGCTTTTCATTTTTCACTAAACATGTTGATTCACCTAAACTCATACATGGAAAGAAAAAAAGGAAAATAAAAGTACTCATGCAGTGTTTTATTAGATGTACACTTTAGTGATCAAGCAAGTAGCTGAGTCACCGCATCCCACTTGTGAGTGAACAGAAGAAGACTAAAGATTAAGAAAAAACGCAGCAATGTTCAGGCAACATTTTAATAGCATTTTATCAGATGTGATGGAAAAAGGAACTATATCTCCTCAACTCTCCTTGGAATGAGAAGAAGATGAGAAAAGAAAAATGAAGAACAATGGTTTTCAATGTTTATCAGACCAACACTACAATGACTTGGAACCATGCTAAAACACTTGGACTATATCTGTACTACATTGGATCTACATTGAATTTGATTGAAATAGCACTAAACAAATGATTTAGTAATGTACACTTGAGTGCAACCCCCAAAAGCTACTTGTTGCCCCATTGGAGTTATGGATGTCTTTAGAAGCCCTACTTGTTTTGATAATGATCATAAAAAATGAAAGAAAAATTAATAAATTTTATGATTAAGAATTAAGTATTTAAATTATATTAATGATTGATATTCATAAAAATATTGAATTTAGAAAAGTCAAGAATAGGGGTAAAATTTGATATTACAATCTAAATTGAATATTCTCATGACCCTTCAAAATGCTTGAGATGATTGCACATACTCAAAAATGATTTATACAATATATTCACTATTTTAATAAAATAATATATTTAATTTTTTCTATTGGGTGTTAACACATGAGGAGAGAGAACATGGGTGGTAGGCATGCCAAAAAAAGTGAATTTTTTTGTTGTGCATCATCTCTACAAATGATTGGTTATAGATGTTTTCAGACTATTAAAGAGTTGTCAGAAAACTAAAAAAATTAAGGATAAAACCAGTAATATAAATAGGAATGTTCTCCTCAATCAGAATTATGGAGGTCAACAATCAAGATTAAGAGAAGAATAACATGAAGTAATCAATGGTATAAAGGCAGATCCTCTCCGTGAAACTTACAAAGAAGAAATTAGAAGAAATCAAACATCACAAAGTTTTAGTATGAAATTTCAAGAACATTAACTCATTTGATATTTTTTTTAGATTTTATTTTCACTCAATAGCCATCTAAAAACCTTAATTTATGAGAGATTAACAACTGTTTATCTAGTTTGTTTTCTTAGAGTTGTGAATCTAGAAAAGAGGAAAGGTCATCTGTTATTTGTCTACTTAGTGTTGTGACTCTTGAAGAAAAATTTTAGGTGGAATCTTAAGTTAATGGAGCTATTAAATCTATCAAAGATGATAAAGTCTTAATTTAGTCTAATATTTGACCAAAAGATTTAATGAAATGAAAGGATGGTTTAGAGAATTGAGTGAGTATTTCAGATGTCAAAACCATTATAAGTTATGTGTGAAATACCATTTGAGCCTTTTAGAACCTTTCTCGCAAAAAGAATTGTACAAAACTAATTCACCCCTCCCTCTTGATACGGTATGTTGGCATATAAAATTCAACAATAAAATCTAGACTAGTTTCAAGGCACCTCTATGTGGCCAATAAAAAGGACTAAAATAATTAATTTTCAGCCATTAAAGTGTGAGAAAAAAGGAAATAATCTTCCATGAATGTAGTGTATCAAGAAGTGAATGTTAGCTTTTACTATCTTAGTTCTGATGTCAGAAAAATATACAAAAAGGTAAAATAATAACTTTATATTACTAAACTTATCTTAAAGTTATGACTTTAGTTGGGACAAGTTGACATACCTATGTTACATTGTTATAATATCTATGTAATTGTTTAGTCAAAGTAGAAAAGCTCAAGCCAAATCACTATAACATTTAAATTTTAAAGTTTACTATTCAATATTTTTGAAATGAAAAATTATTAACCATATTGAAAAAAAAGTCATCTTTAGTCATCTTACCTAGCCCTGATTCCAAAATTTAATATTTTGTTGCACCTAGGTTCCAAGTAAGGCATACGAGGACGTAGAGATATAAATCACTTGATTTGAATTGAAGTCTACATGGGACACTAAATTCTTCAAAATCATCAAAGCCAAAATCTTATTGTGGTTTGGCACTCTTGGCTATCAAACTACTTGACGAGTCTCTTCTTTATGCAACACTTACTTCTTGTGGGTATACCAGTTGAACACCAAGGTGCTGCTGGCAAACTTTCCTCCCATTTCATTGTTCTAGGAGGTCAACATAATATAGTCTTGGCACAAAACCTTTTTAGTTTGATGTCTCTAAAAAAAAACCTCATCTATATCCCAATAATTTAGTACAAGAATCAATATACTATGTAAATGAAAAATCAACTTCTAATATAGTGCACAATGCACTATATTTATGTAATGAATATTTCAGAAAATGTAAAAAAATCATGCAAGTGACTTGAGAAAGGAATCCCCAGTTATTCTACATTGATAGTCTTGATTATCATTTTTTGGAAATTGAGACAATTGGAATTTGGCTATCTATAGTTGTTTGAAAGTCTCATTTAGGGGCTCTATGTATGTTGCTCAAAGTTGTTATAGGACAACACTATGTGATGATATCAGATCGAGTCACTAAAAATTAATTCATATTAAAATAATTAATCATGAAATTAAATCAAGGAAACATGTGAAAATCAACTAAGTCTGGAGTATACTAATGAATTTCTGGGACCGTGTGGTCGTTAAGACGCTACCATAGGCTGTTGGGAGGATATTAATGTCAATGATAGAAATCTTATATAGAGGGCCATATCAAGTTATTAAGGGAAATGCCAAATAACTCTAAACCCACCATTATCTTGAGGAAATCTATATGTGCAAAGTAATTCAATCCAAAAATCACTAGGCAATGGCGAGGGTAGGCATGAGCTGTGGAGGAATTCACGGTTGGCAGCGGGCAACCAACCTGGGTGCAGGCGGCTGCGGTTGGTGCGGCCATGGCTGGATGCCAGCAAGTGCAATATGTAGGTAGACAGCCACTGGTACAGGCGTAGGTAGTGGGGCAAGCTGAACAGAGCTCCCATACGCAGTTGTGTTCTCACTGGAGAGGCCTAGCCAAGCCTCGCCAAGTCTGGCACCGTAGGCCTTACGTTGACTTGCCTAATTCAAGTATACAGAAAGCAGGAAAAAACAGCACCATACGTTATGAAGCCTGAGCTTTGCTGGCCCAATTTGAATAGCTACGTACCCGGTGGTGGTTCAGGAAGATTCTTTACCGAGAGGAGAGTAGACGAAGCAGATCTAAGGGGCAGTCAGAAGAAGGGAGAAGGGGTCGTTTGCAAGGCAAGTTGACAACTTGGGAAGGAGGACCGGCAACGAAGCGGTTGACTGTCCCGGATGATAGGTTGCCTGGCTCATGGAACAAGCTTACCGATTCTGCAGGACAGAGAGTGGGAGTACAGCCGACACGACTAGAAGAGTGGTGAGAGGAATTGTTCGGCCGGTAAAAATGGCAAACTTCCAGGCAACTCCTACCCATGCTTCAACCGGATATATGTCTTCCTAATGGTCGATTGAAAATTGCTTCCTTTTATGTGGGGAAATTTGGAAAGTAAGATAAAGGAACGACCCAAGAGGGGGAAAATTTATTCGAGTAGGCTATGATCACTTATTCCCATAAAAAGTTTCATCCACAAATCATATATGACAGTATCACTGTAGACCATATTATAATCCCTTTTTTGTTGATTATTCCCCTCATTTTTATAAGAGATTTCCTTTTTAATCTTTATCATCCCATACTGACTTCGGTGGAAAAACACGGAAAGATAATCCCTTAATTTGAACGACGATATTAAGAAAGAGGAGACATTTTGGAGATTCAGTCTCCGTTACTTAATGATAATCTTCCCAAAACCCTCTTATATGTTTCTCATATGATCTCAAAAAATGAATACAACTGCTGTCTTGAAGGATGGAGGGAAAGGAAGTGATACCATGAAGCTTACTCTTCCATCTCTCTCTGAAGGGTTGCCGCCAAAAGATAATACTGGTTCGTCGGAGGAATGAGTATGATGTTGGTTGATGGGAGAAATGAGAATGGGCCAGCTCGCTGGAAGTTGAGGCTAGACGTTGGAAGAAATGGGTTTGAGTCGCCTCAGCAGTTGCAATGGCAGAAGCGGCCGAAGCGGGGAGCACCATCCATGCAGAGGCCACCTTTCCTGCAGCCACTGTAGTGGCATACGTCACGGCAGGCAGCGTTTGCGTTGGAGCTCGACGGATCGCACCTCTCCACCTGGATGTTGCTGCAACACCCGAGGCCAGACGGGTAGTCCACCCACTCCCCACCTTCTCACCAGGATGAGGAATAAGAAGAAGAACAAACCTGAGTGAGGTAAGCTAGTAGAACATGTGAGGGGTTACGCGGACAAGCCAGCATAAATAGAATGAAAATAGAAATCCAAGATCATACAGGGAGAGAGCTGCCAAGGGAAAGGAGAGAGCGGAGAAAGGAGTAAGAATAATAATCAGACGCTGATGAAAGGTGGGAGAGTCTTTTCTTACCGGCAGCCAAGACCATGAACCACACGGCGAGCGCAAGGGTTCCTGCCTTGGGGGTAGCCATGATGCCGGGCACTCTCCAACTCCGTCCTCTTGTGTGGTCAAGGGTGGCAGGGGTTTTTTCTGACGATTTTCCTCATGTATATATGGAACTATGGAGGATTTCCTTCCTTTGATTTTTCGGTTAGATTCGAAGACGGGCTCGGACACTGGTCGAATGCTATGGACGCTGAAATAGGAAGGTAAGACTCCAACGAAAGAAAGATGTAATGGTGGCATTTAATTTTATCGATTCATTCAAAGATTCTCATCACCTGCATTTAACACAGAAGCTTGAATATCCTGATTTCCTTGAAGACTGGCTATCGCTGGCTCTAGTGATAACCGATCCAGGAAGTCGGCCTAGATTAATACGGGGTAAATTTTTTCGGTCGATTTGATGTTTGTCCTCCATTACCATTATGATCGTATTGTTTAGACAAAAAAAGGTCCAATTAGAGTTTATAAACTCTTTTTTTCGGAATCTCTGCCAACCCTTTCACTCTTTGTTTGAAAATTATCATATTTTGTTCTTCAGAATCTTCTGCATTGATAAAACCTTATAATCACACGACTACCACATAAATATTATTTAGATTAATTTAACATGATTTACGATGAATTTATAATGAAGAAATTTCAAAGTAAAGTGGGCAAATAAATAGTTTGAATTCCTAAAAGCAAAAGTCATCTAGAATAAGGATAAAAATATGTAAGAACAAGACTATGATAAATCCAGTAAATTCATTTCCTATCACGAAACCAGGCTGGTGCGTTAAAATATATATATATATATATATATATATATATATTTAATTCAATAAATATATATCCACCTCCATCCACTAAATCTAACATGGATGACTAAGTTTTGGACATCAGAATTATTCAACAAAAAATTGGCAAATAAAGAACATGGAAAGATGACAAATGTTTCAGATGTGGTAAAAAGGAGAGGCTGATCTAAACATCAACCTATATGGCACAAATTGTGATATCAAATTATAGTGGACTGCATTAACAAAATCTTTGCAATTTAGATAGGAGTACACTACAAAGTGGGACTAGAGTACATTCTAATAAGGTTGCAATCATGTTCCTTATGTCATTCCTTGGTACCATAAAAACATGTTATCAAACGACAATTTATGTGGTCTGGTTATGATAGAAGAAAACGCCTTCCAATTGTGTTTTCCAAAAGGCTATCCTACATAGTTCTTGCATTTTAACGTGCTACTTTGAATTCCTAACATACCATTCAATCTATCTCTACCATGCGCCAATTTTGACAACAATCCTTTTTTACTTTCAGCATCTTCTTTCTGCTTTGGCAGGCTTTAATTCTCGATATCAACCTCAAGTTTTTAGTAAATTTATTATTTAGTGATTAAAAAATTATTCAATTACATATGTTGTTGCTGTTGAAAACAACTCTGCTTTCAATTTTGAAATTCCCAAAAATTCTCCAAAAAGATCTAGAATTTATTCTCAAAAGATAGTGGAGTTTTCTGAGCATTCCTCCTCATTCTTTGTAAGGCACGTGTTTCTTCTTCATTTGATGAGGAGGAGGTTTTATACTCACCACTCCCAGGTTTCAACAATAGCCTTGTTATTCTTCTTGTTTCCAATATTGTTCTTGACATCATGCTTAAAAGTCGGTCAGTTTTTTTCTTCGGGCAACCTTTTTGAATATGGTCGATTGTCTTATAACTAAAGAAATAACCTTATTTTTACATTCTAATTTATAGAAAATTATAAGTAACTTAAATTAATAATCACATAGAGAATAATTAGTTTCCACTTAGGCTCCTTATTATTTTTTTTCTCATAACCATCAAGTTTTGTTTGAACCAGTGGTAGAATCCTAGAATTCACCAACTCAAAATACTTGTGTAGAACTTGAGGATGGTTAGCATGTGTCTCAGGGGGGAAGGAGAGAGTGAAAAGAAAAATATCTAGACTATGTTGGTATGATATGTTACTCTACTAAATAGAGAGACGTAGATAATTTGTTATAGGTCTCCTATCACACAGTTAGAGTGGACCTACCTCCAAATCTTCAGCCTGCACGACCTTCTTCCCTTTCCAGGACTGGTGGAGGCCTCTTGTCAAAGAGGACAAAAACTTAATGTAAGATAATACACTAGTAGATAAGAGTGAACAACGCTTCCATTTTCCTTTAAAATGCTACCATTCTCACAAGGCCTTACCCCTGATGAGGCATTTTGACAGTACAAGGCGGTGCATGTCCCTTGACCACTCGTTATCAGCTGTCATTAGTTTGATGGTGCACCTCTTGTGTTGGGCCCCACCAACAACTCTTCAATTGTGAAATTCGACGCTCTTTTCTGACAACTCCTGGTCACCACTGCGGCAAAATCCTGCATTTCTCGTTGTGTCATTGCTTCTGATGTGCACTACCCACTGCCTATGCATGCCCAATTCTTCCCATGCCATGTCGTGCACAAGGAAGGCCGCACCACTGTGTATACTTCGGCACAATATTGCTGATTATGCTCGATGTTGTCCACATATTTCCAGCACACTGCGCGCTACTTGCATGCCTTGTGCGCTACATGGGGTTCCCTGTTAAGCACTCGTCTACAGCTTTCGTGCACCGCATGCCACCTGCATGCACTGGGTATCGCACAGAATTTCCATGCACCGTGCTCCTCTGCGCTGCTCAAATGGACCACTCACCAATTTACATGTGCTCCACACTACATGAGGTGACCGTCATGCCTAATGGTCTCGACATAGTTTCTGATTGCACAGTTCCAAATGCTCTACTGTGCAATTTGCGTGCCTTCCTATGTGGACATCGTCGCACGTCTTCTTGTGCCAATGCCATCCATATGGCTTACAATGTTGGCAGTATTCACCCGACATCAGCGTACGCCTCCCGTGCACACTTTGCATGGTTTCCCCTGCTAGTGTTTATATGCATTGCTCCAGAGCACAATGCTTGCTCTTCGTTTCCGTTGCTGATGTGTGCCGTTCTAATGCAAGGTACAATGTGCAGACAAAAGGATGACTTCCGCTTCATATCCCGTGCTAGCGTTGTCCTCTGTGAACATGTGCAATGTGTAGAGCACCTTTGGCATCTCAACTTGGCAGTATGATCCACTCAGGTCATACGCTCTAGTACAGGAGCCTCCACTGTTCACGAGACTGCCAACGCTCGCCTATCTGCGAGCGACACACCCCCCGGCCTTTCCTCAAGCATCCTCAGCACATGGTACCTGTGCATACGTCTGCACGCCCGTGTTGTTCTTCGCTGCATCGCACCGTGCTGCACATCTTGTACGCATCTATGCTATTCTCCACTGCGCCGTGTGCCTCATGCATGCCAGTGCCATTTTGCGTCGTACACCTGGTGTGCGCCGACACCATTCTGCACTGCGCCGCACCATGTCGCGCAACTTGCGCACATCAGTGCCTTCCATGCTGCTCGAACTCTCCTTTTGGCACATTCCTGCCATGCACTCGTTTGTGTCCACAGCAAAGCTGAGTGTCCCACACATGGCGAGACCTCCTTGTCCAGTTCCCCATTGGTGAAGCAGCTATCTTCCTCACATTGTTGCGCGCCTTCGCTCTTTCCACTCCCTTACTAATGAGCGCTTATATATGCTCACCACACATGCCCCCAGTGTTGCCACATCCCTCTACGTGTGCACACATGCACACTGTGCCTGACCACGACCTAGAGTTGGCAGCTGTCACGATTGCAATCGCCTGTTCGCCTTCTAGGCTCTCCTCGCATGTTAGGAAGTAGGCTTCATCAGTCAACCATGGTGACCAATAAGACTTTCCATCCCCAACTACCCATTCATTTCTCACACGATTATAGTGGGCCCATCTCCGAAGCTCTGAACACTACGACTTTCTACCCTTTCAAGATTATGGAAGCTTTTGGTCAAAAGGGGTAAAAACTTAATCTAAGGTATAATAGATAAGAGGGAATGGCCATTCCGTCCTGTTGTCCACTAGTAGATAAGATAACGTTGACATACCCACTTCTTCTAATGAAGAACCATCAATGGCTTTTCCTCAATTCACCCTTCATAAATGTAGTTCATAAAGGCCCCTCACCCCTCATCAGTGAAGGAATACATGTCCCTTAACCACTGACAACACATGTCCTAATAGTGGGACCCATTACTAACTCTTTAGCCACGTGGGAACCAGACTTATACTTCCACTAGTCTCTCTAAGATTACATCTAGTAAATACTTTTACACCAAGGCATAAAATTCTTGTTGCCATTGTCAACTTTTCTAGCTCTCACACAAGTAGCAGATGAGATTGCTAACAAGTAATCAACTTTCCATTGGCTTTCTTTGGCTTGGGCTAGTGCGTATTATCAATCCGCCAATAATGTTCTTGGTTATAGTCTGCTACATAGTTGACTAATGCAGTATCACTAATCCACCAGTTTTCTTGACCCTGGCCCACCACCAACTGACTGATAGTAAATCATTATACTGGTAAGTCCTCTACTTGCTTTATTGACTTTTCTAGTTCAGTAGATGGTTTATCAAATTGCTATTATTTCTCATTCCTTTTCTCTACACTAACCTACTGCATGGTTTCAATACACCACTCTTTCAGTGGCCTTATACCTATTCCTAGACAGCTCACAATGAATAAGTTGAAGATTTTCATAGGTTGTAGAGGCTTGGATCGTTTCATTATTGACTTGGGCAGCCCTAGAAATGAAGTTGTGCAACAAGCCCTCTTCACACACATGCTCTAAACTTCACCAATGGAGTTTTGCCAGGTGGATCGAATGATGTGGCTCTCTTATTTTGCATGAGAATAAAACATGAGTCAGCAAAACAAGTGAAGTTATAAAGAGACTAGTTTGCTGAGCATGGTGGTTACTCATGATGTTAATGACAAAGTCAATTTGATTTATTAAAAGACACATGTATGACGATGATGATGAAGATCTAGATGGAGTTTAGAGAGAGAAAGCCAATTGCTATAACCCTCCATAATTATGCACTGAGAAATGTCAACTCTTGCCTTAATATAGTCAACCTTCTGTCAAATCATTCAAGACTCATATATACCAAGGCCCTAAATAGTCACTTGGAAGGAGACAAGATGGTCACACTAGGTACAGAATGATCCAACTACTGTTACATGCAGTTGCTAGCAAGATCTAAGGGATATTACATTTCAATAAGAAGAATGTTCTTCGTAGAGGCAATGCAGCTAAATATTAGCATGATTAGCTAAATGTGATAACATTCATGAGGAACTTTGCCTAGAAAAATGAGGGCATCTTTTTATTTTTCATATACAGCAGCTCGAATCTAGTCAAGTCCCCTTGGAACATCCATCATTCGGTCCATCTCTTACCCATGAAGCTCCACTTATAATTCTCATCAAGCCCACATGTCTGCTATGCCCAGTCAAGTCTAGTCTCTCGGGTTTGACTTCTCTTCCTGTCGTTACTACTTTAGTAGCCGTTACCGTTGACTCTTTTAGCCACTGAGTCCTTTCGGTAAGCAAGATAGGGGGCTGGTCGCTTCCTTGGAAGTAAGAAAAATTCATCATTTGTAGTCTCTCGATAACTATGAGTGGTGAGGAGGGGGGGGTGGGAGGTTTGGACGGCGCGAGAGTATTGGAGCATTTATCAAGTAGTGTTCAACGGAGTTGAAAGGTGACGTGTTGAGTCGTCATTGGGCGCTTCCGATCGTCTCGGCTTCTTGGGTGGCGCCACGTGGAGGCGGCGTACCCAAAAACAAAGCCTGTGGTCACGTGCTTTGCGGCTGTTGGTTGATGTACGACACGTAGGATGTGAGTGACACGTCACCGTCCACAAGTTTGCCCGGCCAGTAGGTGTATAGAGGTCGTGAAGTCACCGTCACCGCATCTCCAGGGCACCGCCACCTCCTCTCCGGGCCCATCGCGCCTCGCCGCCCTCTTCCTCTCTCTTGCTACCGCCTTCAGGTCCCTGAGGGATGGCGAGGAGAGCCGCCGGCACCGCCGCTGAGGCGGAGGCAGAGGCGGAGGCGGAGTTGCGGAGGCTCGTGCAGGATGTTGCGCGGGTGGGGGAGCTGGCGCGGGAGTTGCAGGACTCGGCGGCGAATCTGATCTCCCGCACTTCGAACGAAGAGCAAGCGCTACGGCAGCGTGCGGTTGGCCTGGATGCCGATCTGCGCCGCATCCAGACCTCCGTTAATGCCGCCGTCCGGCGGGGCGGGACCCTTGACGCCAAGGACGCCGACAAGGTAGGACGGATACAAGAAGGGACTACAGTTCCTCGGAAACTCGTTTTGAATTCGTTTCTCTTCGCAATTTCCATGCTCGATGGCGATCGGTGGTGCCGTTTGCTCACGCCTTCTGCCCTTTGATTAGTTGGATGAGGAATTATGCAGAGCGAGGTGGCTTATTAGCGACGGCGACGTTGGTTCCCTCCTTCCCAACAAGAGTCATGGTACTCAGGCCGGCCTGTTCTTGTTTGTTTCCCATTTCAATGTGGTTCATTTTTCTTATGCCGCCTGTTCGCGCATGCATCACTAGGTCGATTCCTGAAGATGTTCCTTGGGCCAATCAACGTGCGTGCCATAAGGAAAGATGTTCGACTGAAAGTAAAAGAGGAATACAACAATTATAGGGTAAACATCCTCTTCCCTTATTTAAGTTTTTCTTCTTATTTCCCAAACTTCAAGCTCTTATTTTGTTCTACAGCTTTCTTTGAAAACATCCAGCGTCTGAGATTATCAAGCATACTTCAATTACCGCGTTTTTATAAATAACTTTAAATGTAAAACTTCATCTTAATAAACTGGTAAAGAGGTTTTCTTAGACACATATAGTAAGAAAATTGACTCCTAGTGGTTAGTGAAACTAGTGCTCCTTTGGGTGGTGAATTGTGGTGCTTAGTGGGTGGGGGGTTCTTGGACACATATATTAAGAAAATTGACTCCTGGTGCAGAGTGGAACTAGTACTGGTACTTCATCTCGAATATTGTTTAGGACAAAGTCAGGATTTCATGGCATGCCTTGTGGTGGTGAATTTCCGATTCCTTTGGGGGGTGTAATTTATTTGCAAATTTCTTTCCAGTTCTTTCTTGGATTGGAATCCTTTTAATTAACATAAGCTACGTTTCTCCATAGGGATGAAAAAACGTATCAGACATCAGTAGAGCACGACAGCTGTTCAAAGAGAGACCAAATTCCTTAACGAGCAAACTTCCATTTTGAATACCTACAAAGTATTTCGAGATACTACTCGATTTGCTTCAATGTTGAGGACACTAATATTAGTTTTCTTCTACTTTCTTTCATAAAGTGTGCACCAATACCAATCTCTTGAATAAGGGAATTCATTAATCTATCAGAAGTGACATTGAATCAAAGAATAAAATTAAAAAATTATATTCGATACACTAGTCCTTGATTGGATATTAGCTACATAAATGATCAGATTCATAATTTCGAACTAAATATTTCCTATTTTTTTAGTTTACACTGTGAAAACATTTATGATTCATCTAGAGGTAAAATGCTCCAGCATTGTGCGTCTAGAATTGTTTGGTAGATTGGGCTGCAACTTCAGAATTTCTTGCTATGGAAAGCACTTCAAAATAATGAGTTAGGTTGCATCTGAAAATGGCAATTGCATCGAAATACAGAAAAACGTTGGTGATATCCCATGTAAAATCTTCTTTTTTTCTCACAAAAAGATTTGGCATTGGTCAGTGGATCATTTACTTTCGGGAATTGGCAGTGACTATTCCTGCCTGTGGACATGGTATGTCTTGCAGCTAGACCCGATCTAATAGGGATCAGGATCCAATAGACCTAATCGGCCAATAGAGGCTCAGTGTTTTCCAAGTCAGAGGAGACAGCCGGATCAATTTTTTCAGCAGGGATGAAAAAAATTGTTGAAACCCATCTGAGCCCATGGCTCTCTTACTGAGCTATGGATCCCGTCTTCATCATTCGTGTCACAAAGCATAAAAAGCCTGCACGGATTTGGTGGGGGTGTTAGAATTGCCTCCTAATGAGTAGGACAAATTAACTACTACAGTTAACTTGTAGAGGTTCAGTCCCACCGTTCTCAATTGTTTTCAGTCCGATGGCCCATTTATTTAAGTTGTCGTTTAAGGTTAAAAGATTCTTGAGAGAGAAGAAATAAATGACTGAACGTAAGGTTGCACAAATCAGGGTAGCTTCTCAGTCTAGGTGCGTATCTGGTTAAGACTAACATTCTAATACCGCCCTCCCCAAAACCTTGATCTAGATATAATATTCCTTCACTATAATACATAGCTAAAAGCATGTGCCTGCGTGTGTGTTTCATGCCCGTTTGTGCATGTCAAAGCATAGAAATCTCCTCTTCCCCCAATCCCCATCCCCCCTGCACTAAGATAGGTTCACTGAAACACTCCCATCACAGCTGCATGGCGAATGATCTTAGTGGTCAACTTGAATGCAAATGATTTTTGTTAGTTATAATATTGAAAACAACTTAGATTTCTTTGAAGATACACTTGATTGTTATAAGGTTTACTGCAACTAGAAACTTGCTCCATTTGCCAATTCCTTGGAATCTTTTTTTCGAAAAGGATACACTAGAGTTTTTATGGGCGTATTGTTATCAATACAAGGGAATATGACCATCTCTTGTTCAGTATTCATTACTCTCTCTCTGCACATGCGACTGTATGCAGAATTATTCACCATGGTGCTCGTTCATGCTGAGCTCTTTCGATATAGAAATGGCTTCTTGAACTTTTTTCGATTTTTATGAGTTAAAGTTGAAATTTATTGTTAATTGAATCTGTAAAGTTTTTTCAGGCATACTGATAGTTATAGAGTACTTGTAAAATCCTCAGTTGTATTTCTAAAATATTTTGCAGTGTAAACATGTACTATTCCGTAGAAAAATCCGTATGAATTTGTTACATTCATAGTAATGACTAACGAAGTATGTTTCGAGTCTAATGGGGTATGAAAACCGCAAGTTTATATTGGGCATGAATGTACAACTTGTATTTTTGTACCATTATTGATTCAATTAGGTAGTTTGTCATCATTGATTTTATGCATCAAGCGTTCCATCTTACAAAACTTAATTGATGCTATACTTTCTATAAATTCCTAAAACTGTGAAAATAAAAAAATGCTAACAGAAGTTTTACTTTTGGGCTGTTTTTGAATCAGTTCTCTGCCGCTTTAGTCCAGTGTAGTGATCGGGTACAGAGTTAAGAGCTTATCTAGAGAAATAGAAATCAAATATAAAACCAGCTGATTGTACAACAAAGCAACCAAGACTAAACTGATTCACCTGAATTACGGTCTTCTTTTGCTAGTTAATTTCTGTATTGTCCTATTTTTATTTATCTAGGGTTCCCAGTGTGTGACAATGATAAAATTAAATTGCAACTCTCCAGAACTTGATTTCTTCGATATATATATATATATATATATATATATATAATTCATCTCTTTTTTCGATCTTATCTTCGTCAATACAATTGCCTAGGATCACTAGGCATGATTTTTATTTGAATTTTGTTTGTCTTATCATTTAAAGAAATTACTAGCACGCTCTCATTATGTTTCATGAATCGTCTTTCTAAAGCCGGATTACGTTCAAGCTCCTGCAGTTCAGAACTAACTTAGTTGTGTTGTGATTGTAACCAGGAAAGAATGTAATAAATTCAAGAGGCTTATTTAAATTTATATCCCCCAGATGAGCCACACTCTTGTGTACATCCATCTCGCATTTCTTTCATGAAAATATATGGTTTTAGGTGCCGTTAGTCAATATCATAATCTACCCTTGTAATTTCTTGCAAGTATGTGCAAAATTGTGTATCCACTCACACGCCATCATTTATGGCTGGCCAACTGTACTCGCCCTTTTTCCCTTTCTGCCAAGATATAGAGACATTTTGATAATAAAGTTTTGTTCATGGTTAAAGAAATTTGGATGATTTCTAGCAAAGTGGGACTTTGATCTTGGCGGGTATACACGATGCTTGCAATAGTATAATGGTAAACATGAAAAACCATTTATTGCAATTGAAGATGTGCATTTTAATGTGTTACTTGTGTTTCAAAAAACATTTATTCCCTTACCCCTGAGGAAAGCAGTCACGGCATGGGTCAGGTGAACTGTAGAAGTACACTCGACTGAGACTTAAACTACAATATGCCCTATGGCCTAAGATGAGATTAAGAAATGCCTTTTTCTCACATCAACTTCATAGGGTTTTGTTGATTAAGTTCATTGGCTGATCCTTCCTAAGTTACATCTTCATTTAGTTGTCGTTCTCCACAGACCAATGAAAGTTCATTTGATAATAAACTGAAGGACTGCCTCAGTCTACGTAATCCTGATCCTTGTCACTTGATCCTCAATGCTCTTCCTTCTTGAACTTTAACAGTTGGTGGGAGTTCTCATCTAAGTTCTTGAATTTTTCGTCCTTAACATCTCTTCCTTGGTCTTGTTTCTCTCATCTCTTCAGAATGTCATGCTGAAGACACTTGCTGTGTCTTTCTTGTATCACTGTAATTAACCCAACTGCCAACAGTAATAACGCATCTAATTTTCTTTTGAACAGGATAGAACAGCTTTTATGTTTCTCCTTTTTCCTTCCATGCTACTCCTCTTAAGGGCTTGGGTTTGGGATGGCTGCTTTCCAGCATGGCCTGTTCAGTTATACCAGGTGAGGAATGTATTTAATAAGTGTCAGTTAAAAGCATAGACTTGATCTGTTCGAATCAATTATGTGCTGGTTTGTTTAAAAGTTCGCTACTTTTTCAGGCTTGGCTTCTGTTTCTGTACACAAGTTTGGCGTTACGTGAAAACATATTGAGAGCAAATGGAAGTGATATTCGTCCATGGTAGTAAGGAATAATCCCCATTAAACTTTATAGGCCTTTTTGTTTGCAGATATGATACAAGACAGAAGTCAAATATCCGTTTGCTTTTTGAGATTATTTGTGATATTACCTCATAGAAATTTTTTAGCATGCCATCAGTTTATGTATTTGGTAGGAACTTACTAACTTCTGGAATGCAAAAAATTCCATTAGCTTAATTGTCTTACTTCGTACTTGTTCATCTTAGTGTCATGCGGCATCTTCTATAACCTTCTTTGAATTGGAAAAGAGCAATGAAAGCATCAAAAAGTCTTAAAATAAAAAGTCGATATCTCTTTCTTTCATGGATTTTGAGCTTTTTTATTTTATTTTCTCCTAGTATGAAAATTACATGAGTTGATTCACTGGATGTACAGAATGACATTCATTTTGGTAGGGTATGGAAATCTGTAGGGTTGTCACTGAAATAATTACCTCTGAAACAACATGTGGATGCTATTCTGCAGCATGAAAGTTATTCTTTAAGCAACCAAATAATTAAATAAAGGCGTCGCTATGAAGATTTCAAGTGGTGAAGTGTACAGACTGACGATGATGGCTCAGGACAGATAGACCAGAGTGACTACACACGATGCTCGCTCCAAGAAGAAATATAGAAGGCTTTGAAATTGCATCTGCTAATTGGCGATTAATCCAGAACTACTGAAAACATGGTCTTTTTTGTACAATGATCATCCCCATTCTGCACAATTATCATGCGTGAAATCTGTTGAGATCTTAGAATTCTGTGATCTTCAACTTCTAAACACAATATCCTGGACCAGAGGTAAAACATGTTTGTTCAGGAGAGGTAACGTGGCCTGTTTCTTCACATATCTAGTCACAGTTTATTGAAATTCAGGCCTCTTTACTCGGAAATTCGAACAGAGGATTGGAGCCTTTCCAATCACATCTCTATCAAGAAGAATAGCTGCAAGATACTGCAGAAACAACTGGTTGGAGTATTTGGAGTCTATTTTCCTAGGATGTGACAAAGAAAGAGAGCGCGAGTATTATCCAATACTTAGATGCATTTATGAACAGGTTATGCTACCATGGGAAAGCTTGTCTATGACATGCTAGATTTCAGACAGCAAAAATAAGGCTAGTTTTGCTACCTGTAATTTGCCAAGCTAACTTAGTTACTATTCAGTTGACTTCATCCCTTCAAAGTTACCAGAGAAAAAAATTAAGCATCAAGTTTGTGGCAGTTTGAGATAGCTCCTATTGTACACTACTTTTGCCTTCTGATTTCACAGTTGACTTTTTGTAATTTGGATGAAGGATGAAAACGTGTCATCCCCGTCACGTCTGTTGATATCAATAGGCTTGGTATTGTCTCTCAACCTTTTTTTTCCAATAATTGGACCAAACTGCGGATTTTTTTTTTCAATTTTCTGGTGCCCACCCTCGCCCAAATTGGACAAACTTAAACCACAATCCCGCAATCTTGCAAATCATGATTGATTTGTCAATTCTAGGTGGTAGGCGTTTCCTTGCTTCGATTGCTCAAGCCATTCTTCTCATGCAGGTGGATATATCATCACTACTGCGCAATGTTAATGGCGCTCGTCAGTCTCACTTGGGAAATCAAAGGCCAGCCTGATTGTGCAAGCAAGCAGGTGCCGTCTCTTTGCTCTCATCTGCCTTCTCGCTTTTCTTTTCTTTACTTATGCAGACATCTTGCCTCTAACACCCACTAGTTTCATTGCAGAAAGGGGTCCAGCTGTTCTTAGAATGGGCTGTGATGCAAGCCTTTGCAATGCTTCTACAGAACAGATACCAACGACAGAGACTGTACACCCGAATCGCATTGGGAAAGGTACATGAATCCTCTTTGCTCCCTGGGAATGAGCGAGTCATATACTTCCAGTGTCATTTTTATTTTATTTGAACTCCATGTTCTTGGTGGGTTGTTCCGCATTTTCTAACCAGGTGGCTCATTTCACAGTAGATGAATCAGTTGACTTGTATGGTTGGTCTCTGTGTGTTCCCAAGCTAAATGCATATTGTTATTTAACCAGTACTCCTCTTTGTCAAACTGGGACCTGCTACTATGACATACCCATCAGTGCCACAACCCCGTCCACAGCCTTGGTCTGGAGTGGTGACCGACCCATTCCAAGCCATCTTCTGGGTCACACACATGCTTTGCCTTCTGCTTGTGAGCCGGCCACACCTGTAAGGGGAAACAATGGAGAGTCTTGAGCTCTTAACAAGGGTTGGAATGCTTGGGCCAGAAGTCTCAACTCTTTCATCGGCACAGCACGCCACGCCACGCCACTCCACGCCACGCCACGCCACACCCTAGAAGTCAATTGGTGGTCAACTCTGGTCCCCCATTTGGGCATGCCATGACCAATTGATATCCTCCCAAATTAGGTATATATAGATTGAGCAACTCTCGTCTTCCTCACCATTTGTCAGACCCACTAGTCAAGTTTGCGATGGTCAAAATATCGTCAATTCTGATCTTTTGTCATCCCGTCGGCAGCAGTTTGATCGATCTGGTGAGGAAGGAATAAGCGAAATATCTGATCTTTCTTGCCCTTTGTTAGAGCTCTCTGACCCATGAAATATAGTGGTCGGATGTTATGGATCAGGGACTGTATTGCAGAAGCAGAGTAGTTTCCTGTTGATTGGAGAGGTTCCAGTGGCTAATAATGTTCATCGATTTCTCGGCTGTAGGCAAGGAGAATGGATGTTGTGTGGGGTGAAACCGCTGGCGTGGATGGCCAGCTGTGGCTGCTCTGCCCGATCCTGTTCATTTTGCAGGTGACTGAGTCTTGCTGCTCGGTGTTATCTCTCTCTCTCTCTCTACCTGCTGCTGGAATAAGTGGTGTGGAATTATCTGGTGGAAACGGTGTGCTTATCTCTACTGCCTTCGTCCAGGGTTTCGAAGCATACGTTGGGATGAAGCTGCTTCTGATTGCATCGGAAGGTTTGGTACCTGAGTGGCAGGCAGGGCACACATCTCTCTCTCTCTCTCTCTCTCTCTCTCTCTCTCTCTCTCTCTCTCTCGCTCTATCTCTATTCTTCCCCTCCCCTTCTCTCTCTCTCTCTATTCTCCCCATCTCCCTCTCTCTATCTCTATTCGTCCCCTCTATTCTCTCCCTCTCTCTCTCCCCCTCTCTCCCTCTCTCTATCTCTATTCGCCCCCTCTCTCTTTCTCTATCTCTATTCTCCCCCTTTCCCTCTCCCCCCCCCCTCTCTCTCTCTCTCTCTCTCCCTGGGCATCGCTCTCTCTCGAGCCCAGCTCTCGGCGGTTTCACAACCTCCGAGCAATGAGTCCATTAATCTTCAGCATCATGCCTTCCATTTCTGCTGCAGGTGGTAGTCTGCGGGATTCTTCTCGTCCTGATGGCAGTCGGCAACTTTGCCAACACAGTGCAGACGCTCATGGTCAAATCAAGGTTCAAGGCAAAGATGAAGCGGACGAGGAGCAAGCAAGAGCTCGACGCCCCGCCATCACCCAACAACTCGAGATGAGACCGATGAAGAGCTCCTCTAGGTTTCCACTGATGAGAGAATGCCCATGTAAACCTGTTGAAAACCTATTCTCTTGTCAGTCTCCTCTTCATAAGAGATTTCTATTACCATCTTGCACAAGAAATGCGCCACGTTATGTGACCCGAGCAGCTCATATTATTATCTCTATTCGATGGCTTCCTTCTATCTGCTTCCTCTCTTCTTCTCTTTCTTTTCTTTTTTCTTCTTCTTTGCTTGTTACTCAGCTCTCCTTGACTAATTCGACCATAAGTTGACTACTACTATCCGTTGTGCCCAGCAGAAGTTGTACCCGGCACTACTAAAACCCCGGTTGGTGATTATTCTCCAATGGGTAAGATGATGGGATGGAATGTGTATGGAATACTAACTTAAATAGTAATTAATCTTAACCAGTAGTCTGGCTGATGGCATTCAGCAGCAATAGGATCGAATGGGTACATGTCGCTGATGCATGCCTAAACTAATGGCGATGGTGACTTTATATTTGCATGATCATCATGTGAGGCTTCTGGGAATTATCCATCAACATGAGCCATGATTTTGATGATACCATTTTCTTCCCATGGTTTCTATCTTTTTTCGTCATTTTGTACATGTTTTTCCAACTATTTGGGTCGTGTTGTGTCCAAGTATGAGAGGGCAGACAGTGCCCCATTGAATATGATTTAGTACCTTTAGTGTAGTAGTGGATGATATATTAGGCATCGATTCCACCATCCTTACTCAGCCAGGTGTAAATAGTGAACTTAGGTCAAAAAAGGAAGATTTATATCGTATAATAGACATGTTCTTCTTATATATTGTTTTATAGAGCTCTGAATTCCTTCAGTGAGTCTAGTAGTTCAAGGCTATATATATATATATATATTTATTTCTTTCTTTCTTTCTTTCTTTCTTTATTTCTTTCTTTATTTATATTAGAAGAACATTTTATGATATCACATTAAGTTAGGAAAGAACATAAATCAAGCATTGAATTCACAAGACACTGGATCATTAGCCTTCAGAGTCTGTATAAAATGATTTGAACGACACTTCAATCCACAAGGATCAAAATGATGCCTCTTGTATCTACTCAACCAAGTAAATAAAAAATCTCTAAAAAATGAATAAGTTAACATGGCTAAAGAAAATAAAAGTTATATTACTATTCATATTTTTATGTTAAAAATCGAATCAATTAACTAAACAACATAGAAGCAAATAAATAGGAACTAATTACTAATCCTATGAAATTGAATAAGTTATCCCTGTGATTTGGGCCTAGTGGGTTGACTTTCACGCTTGACTGTACGCTTGACTTTACAGTTCACGCTTTTTTACAAATTTGACCTGCTTAGGTCACTAATGCAAGTCCTTTCTCGTTTTTCTAGAGAGATGTTCTATATCATGTTACGTGAATAATCTTCGTGCATATGCTCTACCTCTTGTGAGATGCAAAGATTTATTTTACTTATTTAATAAATCTCTTTACATATAATATCATTGCATATAAAAAAATGCATCATGCAAACTTCACTAATTAAACCAACCAAAAAAATGACCACCTTATGCCGGTTTCTTCTTCAAATTCATAGAACAAACTCCAAACTGCACCTTTGCAGCCTAAGTCAAGTTAGCCGCATGCCCAGTAGATTAAGAAGCTACCATTGGAGTCAGGGGGGAGGAGCTTCAGAGAGAGGATCAGTGGAGGAGGTGGCCTCGCCACTCTGAGAGGGTTGCAACCAGACATGGAGAGAGAAAGTACAAAAGGAAACATAGATTGCTCTTCAAATATGCTCGGATTTCATATTGTCCAATGTGATACTACATGATTTTAAAGCAAAAAGCCCAGAAAACCTACTTGAATCTTGGCCTAACTACTATATCAAGAGCCCTTCTTAAACATAATGAATGAATAAAAGCATGTAGAATTCTGTTTTCATACTTCAGCAAACCATTATCATCACCATAGTCATCATCTATGGCGCGCTCGCTCTTCAGACCCCAAAATAAATAATGTTTTGATTCAGAAGGGTATTATTCGCCCAAAACTTTAGCTTTACAATTCAACCAACAGAACATATTCTAAATGTACAAAATATTTCATTAATGTTCTTTCAATAGAAGAATATAAAGAAAAGTTTTCAGGGGACTGGCATCTCTAATTATCCATAAAAGTGTAGCAAGCCGCAAAAACTCTTTTCTCAACCTGATAATGATGGCCATAAGATGACTTCAGAGCTCCCAAGAGAAGCAGAATCATAAGGAAGTAAATACCCACGCAGAAGATCACGGAATGTGCCGGCCAAAATAGTTGGATTCAATACTCCGTGAGGGTATCATTGCCATCAAAACCCTACCTTGTTTTTAAACCATTTCCGATACTCACATTCTTCACCTTGGAAAGATTCCAGGGAGCAAAGACGGGAGTGGATTGATAAATCTATGACAACCCAAGGGCCATTTTCTCTAACCTCTGGGAAATTCTGCTCTGGTTGCTGTGTTCGTACAGTTCTGACAGGGACTTGGCTGCTCTAGATATCATCTGCTTTCTCACGGCATGAGAACTTAATTCATTCTCTTGTTTGTCCGAAGACGATGCATCGTGCTCCAGGTGGCCCGGCGTCTGTGGCAGGGATGAGCAGAGAGATGAAAGCCACTGCTCAAGGAAAGTAGCTTTCTGCAAGAGAGAAAAGGGGAAAAAATCGATCTCATGTGTCGGATTTAAAAGATAAGTTCGTAGTAATAAAAGAAATTTAAACCTACTCTTATCAGAAAACAATAAGAAAATACATCATAAAGTGTAAAAAAAACCCTGTGGCTACCATCCAACGAAATATCAGTCAACTCCACATGGCTCCAAAACATTTTTTCCACTCCATCTGCAATAACGTATCTGATGCCACCATTTTCGTCTTGCAACCTTTGGATAGGCTAATTTGGGTAGACTGATGAGGAAATTGCCTGGTTCCAAGGCCCCAGGTTGTTCTGCTTCTGGATACTAGTTCAGGAGATTACATACCCACAGTTTTATGAGATACAACTAGAATTGTCAAGGAGGTTTTTGTTGATGTCCTCTTGTCTCTGATGCTTAGGATTTGAAGGACTGTCAACTTCCCTCCTCCCTCAGGTATTCTTCTCTCCTTTTCTCACTATAGCTACGAGAAACCAGGTGGCCTGCTTCAAAGATGTGGAAGCATTAGCCCACAAAATTGACTGATTGGCAGGAAGAACAGCTTCATACGTTTCTGTACGGCAGCCCCGAGGAAATTATGGCCAAGCAGTATTTTCTAAAAGTATGATGGAAACCACTGCCAACTGAGTCTCACTGATTTTTTTTGACAACTGGCTTTTTTCGGATGCCCAGGCAACTTTATTTGATAATACAAGAGCAAGAGAATACTTTTCAATCCTCGGGAAAGGAAGATGAGAACTTATTGATGATATTCATAACTCAAACTGAATCAACTTCTTCAGCTAGTAGTGGTTAGAGCTACATGAACACCTTTTAAAGGGGAGGTAAAACTCTGCCACTCTCATCCAATTCTTTCCCTTATTCCAGATCATTTCCCTACAGTTTGCACAAATGTTCAACCTCCTAAGCATCCATCTGATGCCTAAATGACATAATCAGTGCATTTCAAACCGCGATTTTGTCTGGAAACCTGAAAGAGACAACGTGACTGTTTCCACATTCAACACATACTCCTTTCAATTCATCCCAACGAGTGATACAACTAGGTATCTAATAAAACTGGTGTTATGATTATGAAAATTGGCATTTTATTGAAAACTCCGCAGATCTTGGTTAAAGCCCATAAGACCAGAATCAACTGAAACGCAAAGTTACTATGAAAATTATGAAATCATAATAAGAATTCTCATTTTGCTCAAGGAAGAACGAGAGACAGCGATTCTTCACAAAGAAATCCGAAATGTCCACTTAGGACACGCACACAACATTAGGCTTAAAGAAACCAAGAAATCATTAGTTTCGAAATCTAGTCCTTTCTTTGTATCCAGCAGTTCATAAATCGTAAGCCTTTTCTTATCCTCTTGTATGTGCTAATTATTTATCCCAACAAATCAAACACATCCACCTCTAGATTTTTAAAGGCGCAGGCATGAGTCCCTACTATTTAATTAACGCATTTGAAAGTAATTCAGAGACGTATTATAAACTAGTGCTTTAAAAAAAACATTATAGCATAACATCAAGACAATGTGTCAAATCAAAACCCTACATCAAATCATTTTCATTAGCAAACAGGCCATCAGACAACCAAAAAAAAGTTGTAGAAAAATAAATGAATAAATCTTCACTGTATGTTATTCAATCTCGCTACCTGCACGGATAGATCTCAATCGTTCATGAATTTTGATCAAAATAACTGTTTGACGTGTTCTTACCTTTCTGAGGAAATCCTTGAGAGCCTGATCATCTTGGAGGGAACCCAGGCCAAGCACATGTAGTGTGGTCAATGTCAACTGGAAAAGATTTTCAACATGCCCCCAGTGAAACCAAGCTAAAAAGGTATAAAATTTAACTTACAGGTGGATATGAAACTGACCTGCTTTTCAAGAGCATCTCTGTACTTAAAACTTGAAGGATCTTGGACTTGTTCAGACGCTATGGATTCAAGTACATGTTCAAGACTTTGGAGAATATCAGAGAATGAACTCCCATAATCTGCATAAAATAGAGCCACGCATGTGCAAAGTTATCTATTAAGACTAAATGGTTTTGATCAAGAAAAATGGCAAAAAAATACAAAGGCATTTCTATTTTTTAAGATTATGTTGATTTTAATTTCAAAATATGTTAGAGTTCTATCATTCCTATGACAAAATCATGAAGGAAAAATAGAGTAAAACAAAATCCTAAGCATCAAAGAACATAATAGAGTCAATGGAGTTGCAATTCTCCAAAGAGGTAAAAAGATGGCATCATCATGAAAAATATAAAATGAAAGCTAAATATTTCATTCGGTGTGGAAATGACCGCATAGTTAGGAGTTCGGTACTCAGTCAGACCATTTCCTAGTTTGTCAGTCTCCTAGTTATTAGGTAGTTTCCTTGTTTTGTGGCCCTTGTACATGTATATAACACTCATCTATGATGTGAATACGACATTTTGAAATCCATATCTACATGAAGACGTGCTCATCGATGTGAAATCAATTGGATAAAATGTACTTTGAGTATTGAAGACGAGCGGAAATACTTAAGTGGCATGCTTGCACAAATCTCCAACACGAATTGTCCAGTGCATCAACAACCATCAAAGCCCAAAAGAGACATGAAACACAAAGAAAAGTTCATCACAGGATTACCATCTACTCACATAGGATTTGATCCGAAGTTTATCTTGCTTTTATTTTGATGTAGACGAAAATCAATTGATAAGAATTAAATGCATTTCACTGAAAAATCTACAGAGGTTATTTGCCCAAAATGACTACCAACATGTACCTACTTTCAGGACGCTACATGACGAGGTACAGGGAATCCACCAAAAAATGCTGAAAACGTAGTAGAAATAAGGTTTCCCAGGCACTCATAAAGGTAGTGAAGAAAAGGTAGCTGTATACAGTTCAGTGGAGACCTGAATTGGTTACCATTACATGAAGAGGACTGGATATAGAGTATTTCCTGGTAGCGTTTCCATTGTACCCTCTAGAATAGAGAAACATTCTAAAGAATCTATACATAAATCAGGACCTTATAGAGGGTGGACAAATCAAAACTTGAAGGAATAAAGTGGACAACTCACCACAGGATATGGGTAAAAACAGAAGTGTGGAGACCAAATGAACAATTTCAAAGAAATCTCTCAACTTCCTATTTTATTATATTCAACTTTATGCATTCCACCATCTACAGAGTACATTTGACCAAAAACTGCAAGTGCATTGTCAAGCCGCAGTTGAACAAGTCGAGAAAGTTCAAATTGGCATAACATGAAACCTGAGGGCAAAACCCCCATGAAGTGCACCAGAAGTCACAGACTATTCTGCTGACACCAATAAATAAAATCTCCTTGGGCTTCAGGTCCCCACATTAGCGACAGACAATAAGCTAAACTATCTGCAGGACTAGAAACTGCTTCTCGAAAGGCATATGAATCTGTCTGTAAGCCTCTGGTTACATAACCAATAACTTAACGCATGAACAAAAGTAATAGACGGAAAAAGCAGCACGCATACCAACAGATCCTGCCACACTATATCTTATTACTGGACCCAAAATAAATACTTGAGGAAATCTCAATTTAACTTCCACAGCCGAATAAGATGAGAAAGAGAAATATATGCAAAACTTCTAACCAGCTCTCGATTCTGGCACAGCCAATGCAACAGCAGCATGTATTCTGATTTTGAAATTGGTCGAGTCACGTAGAAGCAACAGAAGGATACTGTAAACAGAAGGAGCCCTGACAAAATACATTGAGATAAAAGATAATCTGAGATATATTCATTTTAGTCTGTAGATGGCTCATTGGAAAAATATGAAAGACTGATTATGCGAAGAAAAGTTCAGAAGCATTCACAAACAACATGCAGCTTCTTTAGTCTCCGTACAATATATTTAATTCACAGCCTTACATAAACATGAGAATGTACTTATACCTCAGTATCATAATGTGCAACAAGAACAGCACGTTCTGGACGATCTAGACCAGTCCAATATAGGCAATTTCTTTTTCTATTAAACATTTCCCACAATACATAATATGTTTACTTTTACGTAGTAATTTTGTCAAGTTTCTTGCCTAACTTCTATGGCGTGTGCTAGATTGGTGGAGTTTGGGGGGTACATTTGCAAGCACAAGTAGATACGTCATGATAAGCAAAAGACACGAGGAGTCATTTTAATTTTCTATAATATAGGTACATATAATATAACATAAAAATTGGAATTGCATCCCTGCAATGGTTCGCAATATAAGTTCCATTGTCAAACTATTACTTCTTAGAATACTACTATGTTTACCAGCCAACCCTTTTTCAAATGAAAAAAAACTGTAACCTGAACAAAGCACAAAATCTAACAGAAATCAAATGTGACCTTCATTGACTACGTCATTTTCAAATTTTGAATGTTGAAACGCACAAAACAAAACTATAACTCACCAAGGCACATCTTGTAGCTTCAGAGTCTTATTCAAGAATAAATTTCCAAGAGCATGACAGACATTCCATTGCACCTGTTCACAAATACAAGAGTTGACAATGTTGGAAAAAAATGATGACTCAATTTGATAAATCTGGAGATAAAATTTACAAAACAAAAGCTTCATTTCTTCTACTTCCCATACAACCATAATCCAGACAGATAAATAATTAAAGATTTATGTGAAATGCATGATAGAGAGTAGTATCAAATGAACAACAGTCCGCAAACACATCAAAGATTAAATTTGAATGAAGGATCTTAAAACTACCATTGGTGTTCACTAATATCGATATTGGAGATTAAATTGCAACAACTTTACATACCTTTACATTTCCCGTAGTTACACATGAGACAAATGCTTGTACCATTCTCTCGAGCCAATGGCGAGTATCAATGGAAGCACCTTTGATATTGTTGCCTGAATTATGCATCATTTACTTCAGCTATGGAAATTATGAACCAATTTCAGACGATTGAAGCCATTGCAACATCTGTACCTGTAGACTCCATCGACGCTTCAGTAGAATTCTCTGTGCAATTGGCAAATCTTGAAAGATTCCCAAGTGCCCTGATAGCATTTGATTTGATCTGCATGGAGCCAAAAAAAAGAAGCACTTAAAATACAAATGTTTCATTGGTTATACAAATAAAGAAAAAGAACGACGAGCAGGGTTGAAATATGCAGATTAGGAGAAAAAGGCACATTTAACCTGATTGGCATCCGAGGCAACGGATGCTTCATGGCACCTCATACTTCATTTATGTTGTACACATCAAAAAAGCAAAAAGTGGGCTTACATGAAGAGAAGTCTAAGAATACTCCCATGGTGAAAGCAAAAGATTTGCCGCCTCCACTCATTCCCAATTAGTTTTAGTTGGATAGCCGAATAATGCGGATAAAATCAGAAGAAAAAATCATCTATTTTCTACTGAAACAACAAGTGCTATTAAAAAGAAAATTAAACACCAAAATGTCAAGAGATGAGAAAGAAATCATTAAATTAATGAAGTTGTATAAGCGAACATATATATGACTAGTGCTTCCCCCCTTTGAAAGTGAAGAGTCCATCAACTGTGATCCCAAGTCAAAATGTTACCACATCATCTTAAGGGTACCATCAGGCTTCTCTGCTTTCTTCAAATTGTTTCAAGGATTAGCGTGTCTTCTCCATTTGAAAATGGAAATGTGAGTTCAGAGCTCCAAAAAAAAGAATCAAATCATGGAGTTCATTGTACCATTCAAGGAAAAAGATGTCCAATTATGAAAAATGAATTAACCCAAGTCACCAGATACAAATAGCATGCAAATCAGAAAATCACTCATTTATGTTACACTGATTTCTGGGAAAAATAGAGACCAAAAGAAAACGACATAGAACTTTCTTCTAATTACCTTATCACCATCCTTACTCAGCCGCAAAGCAGTTTCAAATAAAAGTGCAATAATCTCCGAAGAAGCAACATGACCTGACTTCAAATACAGAGAATGTCAAACTTAGAGACTACAAATAAGTGTGACATCGAATGTGGATTGGAAAGCAACCTGAAAAAGTGTCTGAATGCAGATCAGTTGCTCTATGGCGAAGCGAATCACAGATATTTGCTAAGGCCCAGGAGGATGTTATTCGAACCTAAATAAAAAACCAATTTTACTAATGCCCTTGGACATCTTAAGAAGATCATCAAGCTGATGACCCATCACACAACAGGAACCATTTGAATAAATAAAAAATTTACTGCACATACCGAAATTTGTGGATGATGTGTGTTAAATTCAACTGCATGGAAAATGTCATCCAGGAGTTTTGGGCTGCAAATGAAAAGCTTTATGATCGTAATTTTATCAAATGCTTAAGTCATAAATATCATAGAAACCAAGGGAGGATGTCAAAGAACCTGCTGAAGATCTGTGGGAAACATGCAACCACACCAATGCCTCGGCAAGCAGCTGACCTAACAGATGGTACTTCGTCATTGAAAGCTGAGAAAATCTGCAGGGTTTTACATAAAACAATACGATTACAAGGTGAGTTTTATTCATAGTAAAAAGTCAAATGGCAATAGACCGAAGCCATTATCTAAACTTACAAGAGAATAAACAATGAATCTTTGCTTATCATTCTCAAGGGAGAAGAAGACAGAAGAAGTCATTCCTGCAAAACAAGTAATCCCAGCTGCTCTGATCTGAAAAAAGAAGGAATGAAGCAATTTAAAATAACTACATCGAGAATTATTGTGAACACCAGTCTTGTGCATTCGTCCTCAAGGATGTGAAAAACACATTTCAAGGAAAAACGCTGTCTATTGACAAGAGAATAAAAAAGGATATCCAAGCTAAATTTGCAGAAGAAATGATTATTATCTTGTAAGGTACAAAAGTACAGGCAGAAAGAACAGAATGAATTTTGTATTTATCTAACAAAAAGGTGTCTCACATCATTCACCAGAAAACATTAAAAATAAAAATAAATAAATGATCAACAAGATTTGAGCATCATCCCCAATTCCTTAAATGACAGCATGAGTCAAAGAAAAACTTGAATGAAAAGGCATAACTGTCTTCTTTAAGGACAGTTATTTATTGATACTAAATTATCCTCTGACAGTAGCTGGTACTACATGGTTCTTAAATAAGAAAAGAAAATAAGGGACATAAAAATATGCACTCCATGTAATCTAAAGAAGAAACTTATACATCACTTTATACTAATATATAGAAAGATAGAATTAAAGAAGAGGAAATGATCAAACTATCAGTCAAAATGATTACCATAGAAAACATCCCAAAAACAAAAAAATGCTGGTTTTGACACTCTTACACGGAACATAGTAAAATTTTAATATTAAAAAGGAAATGAAATAATCAAGAATCAGGGCAAATGGATGGTTATTCTGATACATGCATTCAACAAGGAAAAGCAGCTATTCAAGTAGAAAGTCAATATGCAGATGACAATGGATGTAATAGGGATATTTCACACAATAAAAGAGATGAGAAAGAAATACACCCACCATTGGGGAACCATGTGACAGAACCAGAGGAAGATGCTTCTCAATCACCTCATGCCACTGCTTGGCTCCAGATGGATTCCCTGAAGGGCCATTTTTTAAAATCCCAAACATACTTGATTCATATGATGGCGCTGACGAAACCCTTTTTGCTCTTCTGTTGTCAGATAGAAGTTGGATATCCAATAATCTACACTCCAAAAGGTCATCGGTTCCTTGAAATCCAGATGTTGCACGAAGCCCCTCATCCAGAACCTGAACAAGACAAACTGAAATATGAGCCATAAAACCATCTCTTTCTAGTAAAAATATGAAATATTGATCATCATTTATTGGTAGCATGAAATAAGAGCATCAGTAAACAAAGGCGATTCACTGGAACTATGCTATCCAGAAGGCTTAAACAAAGGAAAAAGATAGAAACTCATCATATTTACACAGGGTTGGAAACGCAAAGTAGGGTTCCAGCAAAGAAACGTTAAAAACCAAAATGGATCTGCCCATCTTCCCTAGTCATGCCCTTCTCCTTGAAATGAGGTTGGGGGGAAACAGAAAAGATGATGACCATAAGGATCAAGGACATTACAGGTAAAGTCCTTATGCCTTTTGGCTGTGACAATCAGGACATCACTGAGGATATGATGGTTTTTCAGACTCGATCTAACAAGGTCAGAAAACCATCTCACCCAGCTTCAGGACACAGACATTGACAGTAAACATTTCAGGAATACAGAAGTGTATGAATCATTTTCCCCAAAAATTTACTTCATAAGGTTGTAGAAGCATTGACTTTTGCTGTTTTATCTTGGATTGGGATAATCTCATTGATGCAGTCAATCAGATCGTGTATGCCCAATCCAAGACCAAACAGTTCTTGCTGAGATGGAAACAGAAGCAGAGAGAAGCTTACGTGGAATTCTGCCTTCGTGAAATTCAACTTGTTCCTCTTTTCTAGACCTACATTTGATTTTTTTGTTCTAATCACACCCTAGCCTTGTTTTCCATATTTTCTTTGGAGATTCCCTATCTGAGGCATGATAAATGATGTTTCCTATTCCATTAACTGGTGTGGAGTAACCTCCATAAACCACAAGCTTGAAATAGATTTCTCAGTAACATCTTAATTTTCGAGTTCCCTTGTTAAGCCAGTAAAATTGTACAGTCAACATTTCTATGCTCAGTTTGTGTATGGTTTCTGAGGTCAGCGGATGGTTATATCATACAAAAATTTCCCCAAAAAAGGTGATCATAAATTGAACATTAACCATCTCTTTTATGTACTTAATGCTGTATAAGAGAATACATATAAGGCTTATATCCTTTTTGCAAAGAGTTGCAAGAAGAATAGCTTCATACTGTATTTAAGACTTCATCCTATATTGATATTTTGTGATGGGGCCTACTTCTCACTGATATCAAGCTTATCCTCCCCAACTGAAATTCAAAGGAATTTTAGTTGTGCCAAACATCTCTAAACAGTGAGCTGATAACCTAAATTAGCCAAAAAATAAATGAATAAATTTGCTTATGTCGAATAAAAATTACTTAGTTATGTTTACAGGCCATAGTGTCTGGGTTCTCAAAAAAGAGACAACATTGATGTTACCAACAGTTTTTGTTCACTTGCATTACCTGCTTCTCTGTCTGCTGACGTATGATACCAGAGAATCAGCTGTATAAAGATAAATATTCCTAATACTTATCTAGAACTATCCACTAGTCAAGTTCAACAGGGAAAGGACTGCAACAACAAAGAATTTTTCATATCATTCCCCACAGAATCCCTTGTTCTAGGGTCATTTTCATCAGTTCCATTCGTCTGTTATGTTTTTCCAGGGACATCAACTTCAAAATGTTGTTCCAGGAAGTGACCTCATGTTAGAATTTTGATGGAAGCCAATGTCCAACGGTAAAGTGCTAAACAAAAACAGAATGCTGCCAACATCTTGGTGTCCCAAATTCAACATTCCCCTGAACATAGTGAAGGGTAATTCTGATAGGATAGTCCGACGTTTAGAAATGTACAGAAATTAGTCCAAGGCGTCGACAGAGAGAATTAGTCAACTCGTTTTAACTGAGAAATTTAAAATTTGCAAGTATCTTGGAACCAAAAGCAAACAAATCAAAGAAAGTTGAAGACACCACAGCAGCAAACCCCGATTTGAACGACAAAATAACCCCTTGAGCGTGCCCAAGACTGACAAATTGGTTGAGCGACGAGGATACCAAGACGCTGAAAATTATTCATATCTCATTCAACAAGCACATGTACATACAATGAAAGTTTTTTTTGAGACGACGAAGATTGCAATCCCCTACATTATTGGCTGGGCAAAAAGGAAAGGCGCTAGGTGACATCTAGATAAGGAGTTTAAAATGAAGTTTAAAATCAGCATCTATACCTCCAACAAATAGACAAAAAATAGAGCGAATATGTACACGTACTTTCATGTAATATAATTGAAATACATAATAATACAATAACCTAGCAAAAATATTTAAAAAGGATTACATAAATAGGTGATATAAAATATAATATTTATATTCGTGACCACATTTGCGTGTCCACAAGTTTTCACATCCACATTCATACGCAATGCTTCTGTGTGGACATGAACGCTTATTTTCACTCATCACAAATGTTCATGTTCACAAAGCAAATGCTCACTCACATAAACACGAATGGCAGATAGCCTAGTTAGCCCAGACACCTTAGTTGTCCAGGACACCTCTATGCCAAGTTTTTCCTTGAAAATCATGCATGTGAAATTAGAACGCAAGGTAATAAGCACATGTTATGAGTTTCCGAAACCTGAGGGAGAAGGTGGTTTGCTAGTTCACAGTATTAAAACAACTGGAAATTTTTCAAGAAAATAGCTCCATTATGTATTAAACCCATGTCAAGTAAATTCTATGGGTGGTACATCTACTGTTAATAGCAGAAATGAATTCACCTTAATAGCCGCCATGACACTTCTTTCATTAGCCAATCCTACAGCATTTCCCACATCTACTGAAAATTTTTCTGAGACTCTGCATTTTGATTCTTCAGGAAGAGAACTTTGTAACATCAGATGAACATAAGCAGAGAGATCCTCCCAACAGACAGTTGCTACATTTGGATAGTTGTGTACCAATGCTTTAAGAGCCTACAAATCAGAATCAGGTTAGTCCAACAATTAAGAAGATGAAGCGTTAATTATTTTAATCCAAGAAAAGTCATCTAATTTGGCGCAGAGATTTCACAGGTTATTTTGATAGCAAAGAGTTGAACCGCAGGCTGAGATTAAACACCAATCACTTTTGAACCAAATTAATAACAACGTATCAAAGAAGATAGAAATGGCTAAGAAGAATTGATAAAGCTGGTAACCATTGTTCTTTTGAATCCTGACCACAGTCCCATTTTTTCATAAGCTTTCTTTTAGTATCACAAAGAAGAGTTTAAATTTTTTAGTGACCTTTTCACCTATCAGTGGATCTTTCAGGCATGAAAACAAGAAAAATGATCAGGATTCACCATCAATTGACCGGAGGCAAGTGAAACCTTTTAGATCTGCAGCAATAATCCAATATTGATGCCAACAATTTGATTCTAGAGATTTTCTCTAGATAACAAATGTTCTCACCTCTGAAAGTTTTGTTTCCAGGTTGTTTCACTCCAATTGTATGTAGAATTCCAAAAAGGCTTTTTTCTTCATACACAATTATGTTTTCAGGGTGAATCTCACCTCTTTAAGTATTTTCTTGTTACATAGCTCCTCGCTTGGTGATGTATTGTAGCATCCTAACAAGCGCCAAATAGCACAGTCTTATGATGTCCTGGAGCACTTATGTCTAAAATAACTCCTTTCTTGGTGTTGTGTTGTAACATACGAACCAGTACTTAATGTACAGTACAACTCTGGTTTCATAAATGTACACTTGAATCCTAGCTTTTAATACATTACATAGATTAGAATCCCAACCCAGAACTTGTCTTTTTTTTTTCAAAATAATAAATCACTAGCTATGCGAAAGAGTTACCTGGAGAGCCTCAAATCTAACTGTAGGATGTACTTCCAGTCGAGAAAAATGAAATATAACAGAAAGAACATCTGAATTCCCTGCAGTAAAACTGACACCTGAAAGGACATAAATTAAGGTTCCACATGTTAACCAAAAGAAAACTTGTAATAATCAATCCAACTATTTAAGATGTTAAAAAATGAAATGTAAAATCAATGGTATATAATATTCTATTTAAACTATATGCATTTCATGTTGTTAATCACATTTATCCCTTCAAAAAAGTATAGAAAACAGTTAACTTTATACGAACAGAAGTGTAATCCAATAGCAATTCTGCAAATCAAATTTAGTTAGAGGAAGTATGGACAAAAAGGAAAATATGCATTGCCTTTTTTGGTTATAGATCTAATAAAAGGCCTTCAAGCTACATTGGAAAATACAAGAGATAAAAATGGAATGCTGGAAAAGCCTCCAAAGAAGAAACTGTGAAACTTCAAATCAAGAATACTATTTTTTTTTCTAATATCTCAGAAACAGAAGATTATGATGCAAAATAAGAAGCAGAGATGAAAAAAAGAAGTGTAGATGGAAAACTTATCCAAAAGGACAAACATGTAAGGAATCATTAACATCAACTTATAAACATTTTACTGCATCACTGAAGACAGCATGAAAAATATATAGATGTATGAATCAACTAGATAATACATGACAAACAGATTATTTATCTGAGTGACAAACTGAATCCAATGGAATGAAAAGCACCATAAACCCTTGCTCAGCGCTTATAATGAAATATATTAAACATATCCTGAATACAATATCGTGTCATTGTAAAATAGCATTCAGTGTTCCTCACTTCGTCACCCTCATTATCCCAACTACTTATTTTACCCAACTAGGGGACAATAAAAACTATGCTTGTAATCTCCTCCCAAAGATAGCTCCTGTTTTAGCACAAATCAACAGCCACCAACATCCACTCCTGTACGTCACTATCAACTACCCTCTTTACCCTGAATCTCTAGCTCATTGCTCCGTCATTGTCTCATTTTTCAGCTCATATGCTTCTGCCCCTTGTAACTGAGTTAAAAGTCGAACATGTGGATACCCAATAATTCCTTCAAAAGGGATTGGCCTAAATCATCTTTGCGATTTCTATCTCATGCTTCTACACAACAGCTCCCAAAAAGCATTTAACACTTCCCATTTATTCCCTTCGCTTGATCAACTTATGGTCCATCAACAAAGGGCTAAAACCTGAAGTTCACAGCATCAGAACAATGGCCTCATAAAAGAAAAAGTAAAGAATTAAAAGAGAAATGGCATATGCATGAACAACAAAGATATGGCGGTACTTCTACACCATAAGAAAACCAAATTATGCAAGAGAGACGCATCTGCAAGAAATACCAAAGTCAAAGTACCAAAGTTAGTCCTAGAAAATCCAGCACTGCATTTTCAAGAAAATGGGCCCTCATGTTCTTTAGCCCGTATGTTTATTTAAAAATTTCATTTGCTATTTTCTAGAAATCACTGACTACCAAATATTCATTCACGGCCATGCAAACATAAAACCAATTCTAGCGATCGTATTGGACTATGTCAATCCATAATATCCACTCATCTTATAACAGAAACCAAAAACATTTGGTCAAGAGGATTGGACCACATTTCAGAAAATATTGTAAATCAAAGTTAATGACGAGAGGCTACAGCAACCAACTGAAATGTGAGCAGATTTTTATCCATTAGGAATTGTAGCGTTTCACTGAAAAAAAAATATTTACAGAAGTAGAATAAAGGAAACCTTGTGACAACTCCTTCTTGAGCATTATTGAGACATTCTGTGATGGTGATGTAGACATTGCTGCTGCGAGGCAACTAAAAGCTGTTCCCTGTCAACATTACTAATAAGAAAATCGATGTGCCAAAGTACAACTATGCAAAATCAAAAAAGACTAAGACTCACCATAAAAGTTGTTTGATCTGCTTTTGGAGTAGGACCTACTCGGATCCTTTCTGATATGGACGTTATGACCGTTGGCAACAACTCTCCAGGCATTCGCGAGTATCTGTTACAAAACATAATTACCCAAGTTTATTTATGAGAAAAATGAGAACCTCGGTATCTATTAGTAAAGTTTATCCATCATGATAAAACATATTTACTGAAGTTTATCCTTCCTACTGCTTACTTATCCAGGGTAACTGACACGTATATTTCAGTAAGGATATTATCCTGCAATTATTCATTGGTCATCCGGTAGTATTATAGGTCCATAGAAAGTTTAGTTTTTTCTAGCAATGATTTATGACCACCACAATATTTTAAACCGATCTATGCCAATAATTAGATGATTTTAAGGAGAAGCTTCGAAGAATAATCAACAGGAAGATTTTATAAAAGACAGATAATTTCGATAAAAATTAAAAGAGGAAACCACCAGTTTAAAAAATATATTTAAGCATCCTACTGGTAATCCCTATGATTATTTCTATGCTAAGCGAACAAATGGCACTGCCTACCTTCAAACATGGAAAAAATCTTGGATGATGGGGCTATCTGTCAACCTGGTGTTAGAATATTTTATAACACAAAGATGGCCTTTAGATCTGTTGAAATCCATCAAGGAAGAATTTTCATATCTAGTGATTTAGAGTGGTCTTAGATCAGTACTGGATTCATCATTGATAATGATTGTAGCACTATGCGAGTTAATATGGATGACATGATTTCGCCAGAGGAGATTGCAAAGGGCTCTTATTTCACCCCGTTCGTGAGTCGTTTTAAATGTGTCAGTTTATTCAATGGATATTACCAAGAAGACCTCTTCAGAAAAGAAGATGTTTGGTTCCCTGATAACCTTCCATACGCATGAACATGCAACTTGGAACAAGATGTTGCCTCACAATGTTCAGAAAGCAGTCCATAAGACAGGATAAGGAGAAAGCAAATGAAACCGAAATCCCTCATTGAACAAGAGATTTATTTTAGTTGTGCAGACGGAAGTCCCTGCCAAGTGGCATTCTTGTTGAATTCAACTTCCCCTTCCCATTAGAAACTATTAGCTAGTGCAGTTGAAGTCAGTCTATTCCGCTATTTTCTTTGGGCATTCGAATTATTTTTTATAAATTTTTTTAGTTATCCTGATGGTCACGCATCATTGAAATGAATAAAGACAGGTTATTGGCCTATGATTATGCAGTCCCTGAAATGCAAAACGCAGAATGCCTATGAATATTGCGCAAATAATGAAGCTTTCGACACAATATGCACAAACATGTAAAACCATAAAAGAAAAAAGGAATAGCCATCTCTAGTTAGAACCATACGGTGTAGCAGAAATAAGAAGAGCAAGAATTTTGAACACAGATGCCAGTAGTCCTCCGTTAGTTTCATGTTGAATCAAGTGAAGAATGCCTGCAGAACATAGACCCAAAAAGATAATGGATGTAGTGACTTGTGAAACAAATTAAGTTCATAGTAATACAATACAATAAGGTCTCGCAAACTGGGTACACAACTACTTTCCACTACATAAATGTAATCGGCACTCCCATGATTCCATGTAGTAAACTCGCCGCGAATCTATGTACTAGAGGGTCAAAAGTCGGGGATGGTAACCCAGAGAAGGAAAAAGTCACAAATCTCTCACAGAAAACCCCATCTCTATAGACAAGTTTTTCTCTCTGCCATGCATCAGGCTCGGAGTACTCCCTTCTTGAGGAGATACAAACAAGGTGATACAAGGCAAGCTTTGGTAAACATCAGCCACTTCCCAAACACATTTAGGAGAAGTTCACTTGCACCACATGAGCAAACCCAAGCCATCAGTAGAGCAGTAATTACTTGGTCTCGTACTCAAAACTGGGCAAATCAACCCAGGTCTTGAGCCAACCAGTTTACCAAACAGGATCTTCAAAACTGGAACAATATACCTAATTAATATTTAGACTCCATATGCCTCGTCTATCCAAGTCATTAGCGTGCGCACAGATTCTCCTAGATGTGGTTGCTCATACACTTAAAACGTATGTCCCCCTAGTATCTACATATATAAGGCAACTCTCCTCTTAACAGAAAGCACCACATTATCTTCCCTTTGTTGTGATGTAGAGGTGGATTTGGTTTCTTACTTGAGGTTATTGAAAATTTTATTGAAAGAGCAACTGCAACTGGCTTTTCCTTACTTGATTATGATGCTGATCACCAGAAAAAAAAACTGTTGAATTTCATCATCTGGGAGTTCAAAGTGCCATGTCACCAATGTACCTTGTCAACTGCAATATCATCATCAGAGTCTTCTGGCCTTCATAAGGTTTCATCTCCACCAATATACAATGCTAGTCCTAGCATTACTCCGCCGTTATTGTTGCTCTCTGTTGAAATAATTACACTGCTGGAAGGCTTGGTGCCATTCATAATAAGAAATTTAAAGCCAAGAACTAAAGCGAAATCAGCCAATGGGGACGTACCGTAACTTGTGAGATGACTCATAGTCTACAATCCAACTAGAGATTTCCTCATTTAATTGATACAGAAATTTCGAGATATGCTCAATCAGGAGCACTGATGGGTCGTCTGACGCATGTGATTCAATTGCAAAGGATAGGGTAGTCCCAGGAATGTGCCCTTCTGTCAGACACATCTACCATTAAGAGAAACAGTGGAACTAGGATATACTAGGTTTCACAAATGAGCTAAATAGGCAGAATTGGCAATCATATAAGTTCGATTTTTGATAAGTGAAATATCAACCTAGCAAAAGATGCTCATCATGATCCTCCTTATTGGTGGCCTTTCTCAAAAACCTGTAAAGCTAAACTTGTGTGTAACCCAGAAGACTGGAACAAGACCTAGAGTGGACGAATTATAACCACCTTGAGCACATTGATTATATTCCTTCAATCATATATCCTTTGTCATCATAAACTTTTGTCTCCTCCATTGTCGCACAGTGACATCGAGAACTTGACTATATTCTTAGGCATCTGCTGCAAATCTGTGTTTTAATCGACAATCTGCTTTAAATACGTTCGTCAAACATACCCATTGATTTCTCTTGAGAGAATATATAAGTATAGCTCTTTTAAATAAATGCATTTTGGTATCTACAGATCATCTACTTTGAGCTAAACAAGAGCCTATTATTATGTTTTTCATTGCTCGTTTTTCTCAGCTCGGTGAAACTCACTGGGAAATAGCTGAGGGTTTTTCAATCTTATTACTATTTTCTCTAACAATTTTCATTGTTTAGGCAATGATCTTCATACTCCGGGGCATCTTTCCACTAGAAACATGTGATCTTAGTTCCTGCACTATTTTCCACAGCAATCATCACATTTATGAGAATATTGGTTTAACTCAAAGGATGCAGCTTGAAATTATGAAGACTGCTCAGGCTTCTCTCATCCCTCGCTCATTTCCTTGCGGGTTTCACGATGAAGTAGCCCTCACGGTTGTCAAACTCGTCATCCTATGCTACAGTTTACCATTTTAACAAATTTATACCCCTGCTTCAATTTCAATATATGATTGGCTGCATCTCATGATCCATCCTCCCGATGAATAAACAAAATCAGGCTACCAAATTTGACCTTAAGTAAAAGTTCAACCATAAACATTTCATGGTCACGAGTATATGGCCCTCGTATTTCCCATTAATACCTTAAAAGCTCCGATATTATACTTCCTCTTCCTCCGCTATTCAATTTCCTCGCAGTATTATTGATCTCCCTTCTTTCAATCACTTGTGCGCAGTCCAATATTTCCAATCTCAGATATTCCGTCTCCACCCCTCAAGGCTAGCCTATCCTCACCAAGTGAAATCAGCCTGTCCCACATATTATGCATTCTCCACCGACCAAGTCCATCACCCACCCTACTGAGTCCAGGGTAAAGTTAAGGAGAGTAGGGCCATAATGAGCAAGACAGATGGGAATTCAGTGATGAAGTACAAGGACGAATATGAACAATATATTATCTGGCAAGCCATGTGATACAGGACTGGCTGTACTAGATAAAAACAAGGGCTTGCTATCACAAACTGGGAGAAACTGTAGAAAAAAAATGTTTACAGACAACAGAACATAGCCAAACACTTCGTTTTATTCTCCATTGACAAGTCCATCAGATCTGACACAGGACGTAGAACATGGGCCAAAATGATACCATCAGCTCTTGAGAGTCTAAATCAATGTAGTATGAACATATCCCTTCGCAAGCTTGGTATGGATCACATTAAGTATGCGAGTACATTAGAGTATTCGAAAGAGCAATACGTTTATGCATGGACAAAGGTGCAAATAAGTTAATCAGTATACAAAACTTTAACAAAACAGAGCTTGCCCGAATTAAAGCAACATAAATCTCATAGGAAAAGCATATGTAAGTTGACACAATAAAAAGTTCAATTAATTCCGATAGATTAAAGCAACATAAGCTAAAATGATTAGCAATTCCCTCCCACAAACTTTTAAATTGCAATTCGAAAAAGTACCGTAATTATAGAAAGTGTATACTTTGAGGTACCTCTATGAATCTGCATCAAAATTTGCCCAAGCGAACAAGAGAGAGTTGTAAATGATCCACACTTTGAAGATTCCTTGTATTCTGCTACTTGTAGAAAGACTGAAGAATTAAACTCTAATATAGTGGATAAAGCTGATGCAGATGTGATCCGTGTCTGCAAACAAAAAGCAGAAAATTTCAGTTAACTAATGAGAAGAAGCACAATTAAAGCTATTAAGAATGAAACAGAAATAAACGCACAAACTTAAAAATGTTGAGCACTTCGATTATCATCAAACTGAGAAAACTTAGCACAAGATGCAATGTCAGCGAGTAATAAGATGAAACGCATTAATAAGAAAATATGTTATTTCGACAATAAAAAAATCAGCAACCGAACCAAAAAATTTAAAGCAAAATCTTTACCAGTGAAACCGAACAGAGCTCACGAGAGACCATTAGGGAGAAAACACATTGAATACATATTAAATACCTTTAATACTGGATCAAAAAGTAAACAAGCCATTAAAGTGTCTTGGTATTTCCTGCACAACAGAATCAAATGAAGAAAATGAATCATAACCAAAAAAGGATAGCATATGTACACGAGTATGACATGTAAAATAAGGGCGAAGATTTTACCCTGTTTGTAGCACATCATTGATGGGCAACAGCATTGCCCAAATAGAGGTGAGTGATTTAGGATCTGCTCTACAGAGATCCTTCAAAATGAATAAACCATTAACTCATCAGCAGGTCAATGCAGAATGTAAAAAATAAAATATCCTAAAGTATTGTTATTGGATCCTTTCAGTAATCACATGCTCATGTAAAAATTGTTACACAGATGAGATAGGAGTTACAATAGGGTTACAGTAAGGAGCAACATCAGGTAAGCACCAAATTACGAGGCATTAAAAGCTTCAAACTTAGAGAAGAGAATTGTCATGCTAAGCATAATTTAAATCTTTGCAATTCAGGCTTGTCATGTTGGTAAAACTATTGATGATCCACGCCAGATCTTTGACATTCAGCCGAGTGATGAGTTTTACTTAATCCCCCCATCTCACCACACCCCATCCGAAAAGAAAAAATGAAAGTTCATTTCGATATGATAACCAAGACCAGGTACAAATGCTATGAGTACATGTGATTCATCATCTCTCCACGTTTCACTCAGCATATGCCTTATAGGATCGAGAGATGTCAATTCTAATAGCCAAGATTGAAACATAATTGTGGCTTCCTGATCCAGTTCCATAGAAGGAAACCCAATCAGTCCTCCTTCACTGAAGGTTAAAAAAATATGAAAAAGAATCAGAAACATTTTGGCAGATCTCCATTGGATTGGGTGGTTACAGGTTGTGCCCTCCTTTTATTGCCTGTCCTCGTGCAACAGAAGCTACATGCATTAAGTCTTTCATTATCCACCGCTGATGGAGGAAAAATAAGAAAGAGGAGAGGAGAGGATAGTAGTAACAAGTAGATAAACGACGTATAGAAGAAGAAAAAAAGAGTAGTATAACACTAAACAACTTTAAGTATCCATTTTCATTAAGAAGTTTTAAGCCAGATCAACCCAATTATCGAGGGACCTTGTATTGTTGCCTAAGTAACAAGGGCGCAGACATTTCCTTGATCGTACAAACACCCATAATTCATACATATTAAGCAAGGATTTAGGAAGCAGGATGTCAAAGTGCGAAGTTTCTTAACATGAACTGCATAAAGAAATATTTAATAAACACCGTCTATAATTCATGAATCGATCTGTATTTAGCGCAATGTGCCATATGAAAGACAGGTACACTTCAGTTCAAGTTTAAGAGTTCAGCTATTTCTTCAACTAAGGTTAGTTAAAATAAAAACATGAACTGTATCTACAAATCTGACCTGTATGCAAACCAGAGCAGCAATTCTAGTTTTAGAGCTTCGAAATATGTCACCACCCTTTGTAGGTTTGTCACTATCACTGAGATCTGAATCAGATGAAGTGACATCATACTTGGAAAATTCATACTCCGAAGCTGGAGTATCTGATGGATGAGAAACCAGCCCCCCACTTTTGCGTAGATGTGGGGGTACATATCGGCAATTCTCAGTATTTCTAATTTCCGCAGACCCAGATTTCTGTCTTGGAACACTAAAACTTTTCTCCCTGGAACTAGTATTTCCAGGAAACAAAGTAGATTTACGATTGAGTCCGTACATGAGAAACATTTTTAAGCCCACCACAAGACCTGTAACCTTATGAATTGACCAAAAAAAAATCGTTAGAAATATATGGTTGCCAAATTTGTAAGTTTGAATTAGTTCAAATGGATAAGTTAAGGGACTACATGTTCAGAGAGAGAAACCCCAGGCCTTGAAAGGACCAAATGCAAACAATCTAGAAGAGCAACATAAAACCTGCACAAAACGAAGATCAAAGTTTTGTTTGCCCTTATTTAACTTTTTTTTCCCCTTGTTCAGTATCCAAATGATTGGTGGAAGGTAATACCTGGACATTTCATAGCCCTCCAAAAGTGACTTCTTCGATGCAAAAACGTCCATAAATTCTCTCAAAACCTTTTTGGACCAAAAGGGAAAGGAGTTAATGAAGTGTGCGTGCATGTGTATGACATTATACATACATAGGTAGAAGCACACTAACCTCAAGTGCAAACTGCCACGTATCAATAGAAATAGAGGAACCATTTCTTGAGAGTGCATCTCCTATCATAGAAAATGCAAGAGTATGCAACTCCCACAAATTGCTATAATTAGTATCTTTTCTTCCACTCTTAGTATTCTCAAAAGAGTTTTGAAACGATTGAGAGAGCAGTCCAGCAAATGAGGATGAAACAATATGAAGAAGGAGACTGATTAACGCCATACTATCTAGTGACGAATAATTCAGTCCATATCCTTTGATGATGCACCTGAAAGACTCATGAAATTATGATATTAAGATAAAATTCTTGAAGTATTGCCAACAATAGCATTCAAACACTAGAAAAGGGTTTGAGAAAGATAGAAAGAATGTTCAAACCTGAGAATCTCCACAATCTCTATCACACATTTTGTTCCAACCGAGCTAATCGAAAGTTCTATCCTTTTACTTGTCTTTCCACGGAAGTATTCAAGTATTTTTTCGAAAAAATCCAACATAATGATCCACGAGGATGAATGTACTTCAAGGCGAACCTTGCAGCTGACATTGTGGATCTGCTAGGGCAAAAAAGAAAGCAGTGTAATAATATTCAAGATAATGATTCACATTACATGAAAAGCAAACTGTACATTTCAATAATGGATCAATTTTCTTTGAAAATCTTCAACTTGGCACACGAAGAAAATAAATCACATTAATTCTGGATGCCTATGAAAATATAAATCGGTTAAACTACATGGCATGGCCCAAGCCTTAATTTCAAAGTCTTCCACTAACCCCGTCCCCACATATTCACTTATCCAATTGAGCAGATAAATATTTTGGTCAGCTGCATGAAAAAAGACCAACCCACGAGCCACGACAACCAATTTCAATAAACATCACCGACATTTCACTCATTTAAGTTAAACAGCCCACTCTGTGATGCTGCTGATGGCATGTCCACTAGACATGTCAACCAATTTGAACAAAAAATCAAGGACATTTAACGAATTTATTTTAAACAGCCCATGCCGCGATGCTTTTGATGCCATTTCACGATACTAAATAAAAAAATTTGTTGTCATTTGAACGAGAAAAAAAAAATCAGTGTATGAGCGAAAGCATAGGGAAAGCAACAAAAGTACCAGCCGGCAGACTTGAAGCAGAGTTTCCGCTACACCTTCACATTCTGCCACAGCAGAGCCCAGTTCTGCCAGGAACACCACATCCGAGACGACCTGTTTCACCACCCGTCGCCCCCAATTAAACAGAAAATACGAGAACCAAGCCACCACTAGCAACTACGTATTCAACAAGACGATGAGAGCCCACACCTCATGAACGGGAAGTTCGATCGCAGCCGCCCCCAGCACGCCCGGCGGCAGGGAGAGAACCACAGCATGGAGGAGATCGGACACCGCGGCGGGCGAAGGGGCCGCGAGAGCCTCGTCTCTCAGCGTCAGGAATGCCGTCCGCCACGACCTCACAGCACCGGAAGCGCCCTTGGCCACGGAGGAAGACGCAGCCGCCATGCTTGGCCCTCCCCTCTCATGTCTCGGCGAGCCCGTCGTGGTCCATCGCCCTTCCGAGCGCCGGCAACTAACGACAGCCGCAGGCAGTTGAAATATTAACCCGCCCCATCTTCACCGAGGTTGAGGGTTCTCCACCGCGACCGTTAAACAAGACTAGCCGTTGATGGGCTAACAACTTCGGAAAAAAATTCTATTGGGGGCTTCACGGATGTTATAGTATGAGTGATATTTAGTGAAAATAAAATAATTAATTTAGTTTTAATAAATAAATAAATAAATTTTGTGATATGATAATAGAATGTTGTTGATAGTGAAATATGGCCTTATGATAAAAAAAACAAAGCAATAATGATATCATAACTATTGTATTGGAAAAATGGTAAATTTGGGAATTTTCTCGTTTATAAGACCATGATAATAGAATGTATTTTATATGATATTTTCTTAGATATAATGGATATTTTTATTAACCGTAGAATGATAATAATAATATCGATTTAAGCATTAGATCTCTTTTTTTATTCCATGACATTTTTAAAATGTTAATTAATCATTTTTTTAATGTGGTATGAGTAAATATCTTGATTTAAAATATTCTCAAACTAGAAGGTTTTGGGACATACGATTTGGTTATTATAATTATTTAAATTTTAATTATTAGTTCTACCAAAAAATGACTTTTATATTTTTTTACTGCTTATCATTGGCTTGAACAATGTTAATATAATAGAAATAACATTCCATTCTTTTTATAAATCCCATGTATATGTATTCTTATTTTTTTATAATTTCTGCGCTCTTTTTTCTATTAAGAAATTTATAAAAATATGGTCGGTGGGCGACAGACCACCTTAATCGTTTAAATCATCTCATAAGTGCATTACGTCACTTAACCAGTGACGTTGTCATCCGAACTATCGAGCCCGGTCGATCGGGTTTGATTCGGGTCTCCAAGGGTCCGCCGTGGCAGAGTTATCGAGCTCCACGAAATGGGCCCTCGATGGGCTTATATCCGCCCGATGTCTACAGCCCACGTCAGCGGGCACATCCACGCAGTACCGACAAGAGTCCCCAACGGACCACGCTTTTTTCGTCACAGAGAGAACAAAACTCGTTGGCCTGCGCCATCTAATCCTACGGCGATGGTGTGGCTCCTTCTGCAGGCCTCTCCCCTCTCTCTCTCTCTCTCTCTGTAGCTCAGATGTGACTCTATCTGGGCAATCTTCTTCTTGGCATCAGCCTCGCCGCAACGGGCCAGGAGAGCTGGATTCCAGCTCCGCCCGGCAGCAGCAGGACTCCAGAGAACCAGGCCAGGAGAGGGACCACGGCGGGGACAAGCCCTTCTTCTTCTTCCCCTCTCTTACCCGAACATCACTCTCTCTCTCTCTCGTCTTCACCACCTCTCCTCTCTCTTGCTGGGGTTCTGCTAGAGAGGGATGGTACCGCCGAGTGGCAGCAACGAGTGGGCGCCCTTCGGGAACGGGCGGGCGTACGGCGCCGACATGGCCCTGGCGGTGGGCATTCTCCTCTGCGCGTTCTTCCTCGGTGTCTTCGCCATGGCCGGCGTCCGGCTCTTCCTCCGCCGGCGCCGGCGATGGCAGCAGCAGCAGCCGCCGCCCCACGCCGCGGGCGACGCCGAGAAAGCGGAACCCGGGGGGGTGCCTGCCGGGGAGGGGCGCACGAGGGAACCCCCGACGGTGTACTCGCAGGGGGCGACGCAGATGGCGGGTGCTGCGCAGGAGTGCGCCATCTGCCTTACGGAGTTCGCCGAGGGCGACGATCTCCGGGTGCTGCCGGCCTGCCGGCACGGCTTCCACGCCGACTGCGCCGAGGCTTGGCTCACTTCCTCTTCCTGCTCTGCCGGCGGGAGCGGGGCGGGCCCGTCGTGCCCCATCTGCAGGGCCAGCTGCCGCCCTCCCCAGCCATCGCCGCCGCCGAACCCTGAGATGAACTGAATGAAGTCCCCAGCCCGAAATCTCCACAGGCGTCCGCCTGCTTTCTTCCTCACTCTCTCTCTCTCTCTCTCGAGAAGCCATGTTCTTCACGATTCGTTTCGCAATCGATTGTGTAGAAAGTTTTCTCAAAGGTCTCCCGACCGAACCATCTCCTAGGGAAAAATAAAGATCCCAAGAAACACCACTGAGGATAAAACCAGGGAGGCCTCGAGCTATTTTATGTTTTCAAGGGGCCAGATTAAAAGAAAAGGCATCGTTTCGCATGAGAATATAAAAGCCTTTTATACAGGATAAATGTACGTTAAATAAAGCATTTTACAAAAATTAAGCCGCGATGATGAATATGAAAATACCCGAGGGAAATTAAGACCTGTAGCAATCTCATACAAGATAATTTATTTCGACAGTGTGCGGGACATTTGAATGGATAAGCACACCAAAATAAAAACAGCCCCAGGAAGATGGGCTCCCCGAACGAAAGCAACAGACGGCAAACTCATTCCAGCAAACACGGCTGATCTGCAAACCCAGAACTCAAGAGGGAGATTTTTTGGGCGGGGGGATGGCACCTAGAAGCACTTCCTGTGGACAATGGCCGGTCCCGATTCGTCGTACTCTGCCTTGGATATCCACATCTGAAAGAAGAAGCAGAAGGGGAAGGGTTGATCAGAAACCATGCGGGCAGGAGAGGATGGAAGATCAAGAGGAAGAGCTGGACGGGAGTGGTCCTTGGTACCTGCTGGAAGGTGCTGAGGGACGCGAGAATGGACCCTCCAATCCAGACACTGTACTTCCTCTCGGGCGGGGCCACGACCTTGATCTTCATGCTACTTGGCGCCAGGGCCGTGATCTCCTTGCTCATCCGGTCGGCGATGCCAGGGAACATGGTGGTGCCACCACTGAGCACGATGTTGCCATAGAGATCCTTCCTGATGTCCACGTCGCACTTCATGATGGAGTTGTAGGTCGTCTCATGGATGCCAGCAGCTTCCATGCCGACCAGGGATGGCTGGAAGAGGACCTCCGGGCATCGGAACCTCTCTGCACCAATGGTGATCACCTGTCCGTCGGGCAGCTCGTAGGTCTTCTCTATGGAAGAGCTGGACTTTGCTGTTTCCAGCTCTTGCTCATAATCAAGAGCAACATAGGCGAGCTTCTCCTTTATGTCACGGACAATTTCCCGCTCCGCAGTGGTGGTGAAGGAGTAGCCTCTCTCGGTCAGGATCTTCATCAGAGCATCTGTCAGATCTCTTCCAGCAAGATCGAGCCGGAGAATGGCATGTGGGAGGGAGAAACCCTCATAAATCGGGACAGTGTGGCTCACACCATCACCAGAATCCAGCACAATACCTGATCAAAGAAGTGTAATTAAAACGGTAGGAAATTCTCCCGAGGCTGCCAATTTCTATTTTTTCTAAATCGAATTTGCAGGAATATTCATTTACAACCATGGTAGAATCCATAGAATGACAAGGAATCCCATGGGGGGTTACCCTGATATTAATTTTGTGGAGTCAAGTTAGCATCGAAGCAAGAGATATTTCCAATCATCAATATATACAAAATACTTCTCTTCGCGTACCTGTGGTGCGACCACTGGCGTATAGAGACAGAACAGCCTGGATCGCAACATACATGGCGGGGGAATTAAAGGTCTCAAACATGATCTGTGTCATCTTCTCTCTGTTGGCCTTGGGGTTAAGAGGGGCTTCGGTGAGAAGAATAGGGTGCTCCTCTGGTGCCACTCGCAGCTCATTGTAGAAAGTGTGATGCCAAATTTTCTCCATGTCATCCCAATTGGTAACAACCCCATGCTCAATTGGGTATTTCAATGTCAAAATACCTCTCTTGGATTGAGCCTCATCACCTACATAAGCCTCCTTCTGTCCCATGCCAACCATGACGCCCGTATGACGTGGTCGACCAATGACACTTGGGAAGACAGCCCTTGGAGCATCGTCCCCAGCAAACCCAGCCTAATTGGTGAAGAAAAGAAATAAAAGTTACACCATATGAAATTAATGATGCGTTAACAAACATGAAAGGGAAGTCTCATAAAACAAGGTTACCTTGACCATCCCAGTTCCATTGTCACAGACAATGGGCTGAATATCATCAGCATCAGTCATTGTGTGCAGCTGTTCTGTTTAAAAATACCTAATTAGAGCAGATCGTCGTGATAATTAGAGCAGAAAAAATTCCATAAGGTAGAAGGCAAATGATCTTAACAACAAGACCACGGGTAAACCATTCAATAAATAGAACGGTTACATTCCAGTAAAAAAAGGTCATTCTACAAACGTCTAAAACCTCGTCACAAAGTTATTGCTATCACGCAAATGAATGTGGACAGCAAAAAAAATTTATAAAAAAAGTTATATTTCATGTCACTCCTGAATAACTAGGTACTATAAGCAAGTGGAAGCAAACAACCTCTAGAAAGCAGGTGAAAGTTTAACGTGAGGTAAAACCATGCATTAAAGAACATTACCAAATCTTTCATTTTACTGATTTCCTAAAGGATTTAATCCCATTAGGCACTACTAATCCTATGTTTTCTTTCACAAATTATCATAACATCTAATACCCAAACGCCCACATTGTATTACAGATAATTCTGACGAAAATGACGAAAAAATGAAGGATGGCGAATCAAGGACCCAAGAACAATGGAAGAGTGACAATGGATAATTATATAATTTCAACGGCATCCCTTACAATCCTCTATAAACACTAAATCTTCGGGGAAGATGTTTCCAAATACCATAAAATCAGGATCAGTATTCCGCATCTGATTGCAGACTATAAACAGATTGGGAAGTACACAACGGATGGCACCGGAGACGCTAGAAAATAACAATGACACAAAAGCAGAAAGAACTTTTGTTCCACTGCAGCAGACAGCTAAAGGACACAAATATTAAATCCCGAAAAGATAATATCGACGGAAAACACGATGTTACCCCCCAGGATAACAGAACAAGGAATAAATCTGGTCATCGATGAGGAAAGATGAGCAGTACGACAGATCGGGACATAAAATGGCGACAGATCTACAAGATGCGACACTAGGAGACAATAGGATTACAAACACTCAACGATTTGAAGACGAGAAATCAAAACAAAAAAATAGGGACAACGCCAAGATACCCCCGGTCGGGAAGACGATGACAAAAAGGAGAAATAATCAGACGATTTCGAAGATCTAAAGACATCGATGCTCACGAAAACGACCAGAGATCTCTACCTCCGCGCCGGCGGCACCCCGGTCGACCTTTCTCTCTCCTTCGCCCCCGGCAGAAGCGTAGCGAGGAGGAAGAAGCGGAGAGGCCGGAGGGCTTCCAAGCAGGCAGGGGCCGGGAGAGGTTTGTGAGGCTGACTGGTTCAGGCTTTCCTTATAGAGGAAGGAACACGCCAGCCTAGGGGAACGGCTGGAAATGAAACCCAAATGAAATGCAGAACTTTCATAAATTCCAAAAAATACAAAATTATACTCATTGTCCAAGGAAACGTTCTCTTCTGTCCCTCAAAGAATAAACCTTCCCATTTTTGTCCTCACTTCAGCAAAAGCACCCCTCCAAAATTTTAATTTGATATATATTCCTTTTACGATTAGTCTTCAGAAAGCTACCCTATTCTCGGCAAGAAATTCTATTACCGGAAAATTACGAAAAATTTAATGAAATAATTTTAAATAAAGTGAAAGTTTTAAAATTCATGGAATATTAAATTTTTTATAAATATATGAGATTTTTTTAGGAAAAGTCCCCTTCGGGAGGGATAAAAATGAAAGTTCCAAAAGTATGAGGGGTAAAGAGTAAAAGCGGTTGATTGATTAATTCTGTCAGCTGCCCGAATGGGTGGTCAAGAGAAGTGGCTGGACAACCAGCACCTCTTTGCAATTTTTCGTAAAATAATGTTTTATTCCATTTTTAATAACTGGAGGCGGCCGAAGACAACGAGAGAGAGAGAGAGAGACATAGAGAGAGACAGACGGACAGAGAGAGAGAGAGAGAGAGAGAGAGAGAGAGAGGCAGACCTCGTGTCATATACGGGGTCCATATTTTGAGGGTGTAGATCGGATCAAACAGGGAACTGGAGCCGAGCTGGACCCGTTTAGAATCCGAAACGTTTGACTGGATATACTATGTCAACGGGAACTACACCAACCTATCCCTCCTGGAAGAATCATTCTCCTCACGCAATCGGGGTGGTGTCCTCATTCGGTCAAAGTCAACTAACAGTCCAACTAGACCCCTCCAGGCTCGACAAGTGGCAGGCAACAAAAAAAAACTACAATTCAGGTGTCAATCGGTAATGACTATTTTATTAATGGCCTCCTAATTCGATTATTTTTTCAAATAAGCTATTATTTGCTATTTTTGCTTACTCGAGGGGGGGAGAGAGAGAGAGAGAGAATTATCCTCCTAATTTTACAGTAAAATAAAGTTCCAATAATGTAAAATGCCAACCATAATTAATATCCAAATTATTTAATTAATATTCGTAACAAGTTATATTCCATAATTTTAAAAGTTGTTATAAAATAAGTTTATATATTTAATAAAATATTTTTTAAATTGTGTTTCAACCTCGTAAATATTTTGTTACAAATCCCATCCGTTTAGTGTAACTGTTACTGATAAAATTTACCGGTAGTGATACCGGTCGGCGTGTGCCCGGCCGTATAAGAGCATTCGACGGAGGTACCCTCGACGAGAAGAGCCTTCAGCATCTCGCGGAGAGGGTGGTGGCGGGGGGAGAAGGCCGGGGGTGGGGAGCTGAGGCTCTTCGTCGAGTCGCTGGCGCTTCTTCGCCATGATGCTTTCTTCTCTACAACCAGCCGAATTCCTTTTCTTGGCTTCCGGCGAGGTAGTGGAGAACTGAGGTGAGTTTTCCTTTATCGTATTCGTGATTGGCGCCGGCGATCCTTCGGCGGGGATAATTACTGTTCCTAGTGGGTGTAAATTTTTCCATGTGCCTGAGTAGTCTCCCTTTGGGAACGCCCGCAGCTTGTGCAGGGTGGTCCGAAGGCGGGGTGGGTTGGGCTACGTTTACTGGGGAGAGTTGCCACTGTCTTATTCAAAGTGGAGAAGCTTTTATATTTTGAAACAAGTCGCGGCTATCGGCCATGGACCGCTGTAGATGCTCCCATTATGCTTGAGATATTAATGTATAGGTAGAAGGTAGTTTTGAGAGGTCGTCAATCTGTTTTACCCTTCTCTCTCTCATCAGGTCATCCTGCCTCTTCTGATTTAAATCGAAGAGTTTCCTCACCCCCCTTTTATTTAGCCAGTAGTCTTCAGTCGCAATTCTATCTTTTTCTCTTTTAGCTTGTGAACACTCATTTTTTTGCTGATTTCAGGCTATTTCTACGTACTGAATGAAGGGATGGATTCACATATCCAGACAGCACCGCTGATTGAATGTCCTTCATATCCAAATTCAGTTGCATGGTCAGAGGAAAATCTTGTGGCTGTTGCCTCAGGCTCCGTCATCACACTATTGGTAAGGACTTAATAATGAAAAAAAAATAATTTCTTGGCTTAATCATTGATAACATGTTTAGTCGTCATCCTTTTCTTTGTAAACGCACAGAACCCAGCACTAATTACAGGTCCCCGGGGGCTGATTAAGCTTCCTCCCAACAGACCCTTTTCAATTGGTGTGGTTAAGGAAGAAGGTTTGTCACTGAAAGAAGATGCAACTTTTTGTCATTTAATTTCGTCTTACTTTTTCCTAATTCTGCTTTGATCATGATTTTAGGCGAGCGTAACCAATTAATTGGCTATATTTATTACCAAATGCGTATGATATGATTAACATATACTTTTCCAAATGATGAATGTAGTGTCAGCCTCGTACACGGTTGCTCATCACACAATTAGAGTGTTCTATTTATGAAAATACCGACGTTAGTCAATTATTAATACTTCATTCTTGACACAAGATTTCATGCCCTTGAAATTGTCCAGGATTATCCCTACCAGCATGTTATGGTAGGCACCAAATGGGGGTGTTTGCCTCGCACATGCTCATTATATTCATATTTGATCATTGGACAAAAAAAATTGAATAAAAATAAATCCGCATGATTTATGAGCGACAAATAACCTTTTTAGTTTATTACCTAAATTTTATTGTATAAAAAAAATTCAAGCATATTTTAAATGTATCCCATCAGAAAAATATTGCTGCATTTGTGTGAGGTATTCCCCTTATCTATGACAGAATGCTCGAGTCTTGCATAGTTTGAGATCATGAATAGATGCTCCGTGCTATGAAATGCCCTATGGATAAATCCTGAGCCATAAAAACATCTTAACATCATCATTAATAACACATGTCATAAAAATACGACGTTACATTTTTATCATAGTCTTGTGTCTTAAGCCATATGATTTTGGTGATGAAACATTTGGTTGTGTCACCACAGTCGACTTGTCCTCCATCATGGTTGCATCGAACTGGTATTTTTTGTAGCTCTCAATGACACCACGATAATAATTGTGGTGTGCAAAGTCATAGGGCGGCATAATTAAATTGACATATCCTTCTAGGATTCTTATGTTGTAGAAAAAACAGTTCATGCATAGAGCTTCTGCCTATGTGTCTTTTGCTTTTGACATGGTGCACTGGTCATTTTTGTAATCATAGATAATGGAGTGAGCTTCATCTGTCGTCGTCTCCTCTATGGCCTTGGGGTCTAACTTACATTAGAGAGTCAAACATCTCAGATACATGGTTGAGATGCTGCTCAATAGGGGTTTTCAGCCCGCAAATAGGTGTATGTATATGTATAGGTATATGTATCTCTCAAAGAGCATACATATGCAAATGCAGGTATGACAACGTCAGAACATCTTAATATACATCAGAAGTAAGTCAGACCATGTAATTTATGCGAAATAGTGGTATTCTTATAAATTCATAGCCTTTTGTGGTATCCAGCAAATTGGTGGGAGCAACTTATTTCATTAATGATGTGCTTCTCTGGAAATGCTTCAAGCAAACTAAATGCCTATTAGCATAGTAGAAGCATTGAATACTGTTGTTGAGATGTACTTAATAACCTGTACACCTTACATGTTTATAGATATGTCCTCCTGTATCTTTCATTTTTCGTGTTACATCAGTATGTCTAGAGCCTTCTAGGGATCTGGTATAAATGCTGGGTCCCACTCTCCTTGTATGAGTTTTCTTAATCCATAGAGTATTTTGTTCTTCTTCCACGAGTGCTGGGCGTCTATCAGAGCTCCAGACCATGTGTTATCTCGACTACAAATACCAACCAGTCAATTGAGTAGATCAGCGAGCCTTTGTACGACATAAACATTTGCTGGTAAAGCCTGTTGGATGACGGTGACAAATGTCTCACGTATCTCTGTCGAGTTGAAGTACTCTCTGTTGACTTGAACTTTCAGATGATTATTTGTCACAAGATTATCATGTTATTAAACAGGCTGTCTCAGCTAAGTGCACATACGTTGTAATCGATATCTACAACTTGCAACAGTATCTCATGTGATCTAAGAATTATTATGTGTGAATTTATGTTGAAATTCTGATTCTTTTGATTCATGGATGCTAAAGTGTGTGTAGTTTGCCTCTGGCTTTCCAAAAGTTTTGACTCAAGATTATTGGTTCCTCAGCTTCTCTAGGATTACTGGATAGCATGGTTTTCTGATAATGTGAGGATGTTGTACCTTGAAATTGCGAGTTCCTGTGGTTTTCTATAATTCTGGGCTTCCATTGCTTTATAGAAGTTGCTCCTCCTTATTTACGAAATGTAATGCACACTAGCATGACACGTTTTGTTTCTTCTTTTATTGTAGACCTCTGTGCTCCTTGCTTGATGCCTATATCCCTGTCACGTGATACTCGTCCTTGTGCTCGGTCAATTTCGTGGTCTCCTCTTGGATTCGCCCCCAATTCAGGGTATGCTAAATTCAAGAATTTCCGATTTTACTTTCCTTTCCAAATATCTCAAGTCACCGAGTAGATTGGTGAAATTTGGAGTGTCTATGTCCTTTTTGTTCAAAAATGTTAATGCATGTTTCCATCCTTTGGGATAACATAATCCTCATATTGGGTAATGGTCAGGTCAATAAAGATTTACTGTGGACTTCAAAATATTTTTGATGAACTAGCCTTGTTGATGGTAGCATATTAACATAAATGACTGGCGTGTATGCAGAGAAAACCTGCCACAAATTGAGCAGATGAGATCAGAGTTTGTTAGTTCATGGGGATTTCTCTTGATCCATTGTGGTGTTTACTTGGGCTTGACATGGATGGGATGGTTCTAATCATTACTCTTTAATTCTGTGACAAGAATTATCATGAATTCCCTAGGTGCCATGGATTTGTTAAATGTTGGATACAAGATCTTTGGTAATTGAAGAGCAATTGTGCCAACAATATTGTCATAACAACTAATGCATCTGAACTGTAATTCTACGGCAATAAAGATGCGCTAAGTGATAAAAAGAGAGGGTGATCTTTACTGAGCTGTATTTTCCTTTCATATGTGTGCGGTTTTGTGTATTTTTATATCCTTAACATGAATGCATTATGATCTTTAATGCTGACTGTCAATGTAGAAATAAGATATGCATCCGTATTCAAGGAGTTTTATTTATCTTGACAAAGTAGGTAGAGAAAATATTCACATAGTGGAACTTTCTACAGATGCTTGCTTGCTGTGTGTACCACTGATGGCCATGTTAAGCTCTATCGCTCTCCGTATTGTGAATATCGTGTAGAATGGGTTGAGGTATGCTCTTCGAAAATATGCTACCTTTTCTAGCACGTTAGTTATCATTCTAATATGCTTTATTACTTTTGTTGCATTTGTTTATGAATATTTCGAGCTTTTATCCCTAGCCTGCATTCTAAGTAGTTGATGGTTTTCTCTTTTTCGCTTCTTCTAGCTGTTTGTTATATTTGGTGCTGTCGAAAATGTATTAACTCAATTCTTATGACTTCCATGTATGGAATATAAGTTTTTTGAAATTGGAAAATTGAAGTGCACCGTATGGAAGTAGTCTACATTGAACTATTTGTTTAAAGAAAACCTGCAGAGAACTATAAACGTGCGATAATAAATCCAAAAGGTTATAACATCTCTCAATAGCAAATTTCTAATAAACTTCACTACCAAATGTGAAAGCAGCTTCGGATAATTACTACACAGAAGGAAACTCTCAACTCATTTTCTTACAACATGATGCCATTTTTGAGCATTGCAAGTCAGAAGATGAGAAGTAGGATTTTCTCTGATAAGGAACATGGCTGTGATAAGGGGACCCTGCGAGTACAATTTACTTTCAAAGATTCGTCTGGTCCCCTGTATCCAATTGGCCCAATAGATTGCTGGAAACGTCTGTTGAGTGCTGTATCGCGAGGGGAGAAACCCTAATCTCGAACAGATGGGTAGAAAAATAACACACACCTTACTTGATTAACGTTTGGGTCTTGTATTTACCAGACCCAGAGTACAGGAGTTGAATCGGACCGGTCCAGTCCGTTTTGACGCTTAAGTAATAAAGAAATATTATAATAAAGAAATAAAAACAGCTGCAACTTCTTCCGACAATGTCAGATCTATAGGATATAAGAACATATATTCCTCTATTGTGGTGCTGTTGTTTGGGTCTAAGGTTGCATGAATTGGCCATAATAAATCTTTTCTATGGATATTCCATTTTGATACTCTAATATGCCAAATAGCCATTATTAAACATTAAAGAAGAAAATGAGGGGCATGGGTTCTGGGAGAAAATAAATGCATAAGACAACACAGCATCAATGACGGCAAGACGTGTTAAACTGCTGAAAGAAGGTAATTTTTTTCTGCGCAATGTCTTTTTTCTTGCTATTGTGTCACCTACCGCTCTAGGGGGTTACTGTTTGCTTTTGTTGCCTATCTCCTAAAAGGGGAGCAGATGAGGTCCAGCTCCTTTATACTTGACAGTCCCAATGCTCAATTATGGAAACATGAGATTTTATTTTGTTGATATTTTCTTACAAAGACTAATCTGTTGAAGTTTTTTAAATCAGACTAGTCACCCTTATGAAGGTTGACTGACTTGGACATCCAAGATTGCCTTAATCCTGAAAAAACGAGTTGAATCTGATCAATTCGGTTTTGATTTAATTTTAAGTTTAATCAACCGATCTTGGCTTGTGATCTCCTATTCTAAACATAATCATGCAGATTCCTTTATTAGACTTTATTCATGTAGCTTGTCAAAATACTACAAATAGAGTCATGTTGTCGAGTATGCACAGATCAGGTCATACCTTTGATTGATGACCTAGCTCTGACTGGGGCAGTCAAATCAGTCTAACAATTGGAAAGAATCAGTGTAATAAACATTAATAATATTTTATCCTAATATATTACAAGGTTGAAAATCTCAAAAGTTTTCAAAAGAAACAAGGATTGACTTAAACATTTCATTTTTATGTATTTTTTTTAAGTGCTTCTATCAAATTCCTGTATATGTTTAGCTCAAGTTTTCAAGGTGACTAACGACGGCTGCAGAAATACTAATTATCGAAATAAGTACTCACTTAAATTTTACGTGTGATATGTACAGTAGTTTATTAAAAACTGCTAACTATCAATGGTTTGTTTTATGGGTAAACTTTTGGTCTCTGGCAAATACAATGGCTAACATTTAGCCTTTTGTGAACTGAGCTTAGGATGTGGCCGTTTTCAGTTGGGATCTTGGATATGTGAACAGATACACATTGTTTCACGAATGCTTGTCCATGAGTGGTTATGTGTTTATCTGTGAATAGGATCTACCATGCAGACAAATCCATAGAGCTATGTATATGAACATGAGCAGCCATCTTGCTGGGCGCTTGCTAAGAGGGAACGAATGTCTTGGTTATCCTACTCACCTTCTTGCCTGAGCTATTCTTTTGCTTTCATATAGAATGATTTTGATACTAGATTAAGGAGAAATGGATGAAGGAAAAAAAAAATTGAGAATGAAAATCGCAAACTGATCTTCATGAGTTAGTTTTAGCATAATCTTGGAAATTTCAGGTATTTCAGACCGAGCCAGATGGTATGCATTGTTCAAATTCTTAACTCATAACGTTGAACTTGTTAAATGATGTTTTTTCTGGATATTGGCCCTTGGTCTCACTTTTCCAACGATGAGTAGAGTTTAAAATTTTTAAGTTTTTTCTTTTCAGGCTAACTGTTGATGAGACTTCTTTGATAGCTGGCCTCCAAAAATGCCTTTTTTTCGCTTTTTGCTTATTTCCAGATTTACTCTGGAATGATGTATGTCAATCAATCTAGAACAACCAAGATGGAGACCTTTGGTCTGGTTTAAACTTTAATGTAACGATGTAATTTTGAATCTACTACCATGTAGACTTTTTCTACAATCTTTTTTAAATGCCTTTTATGCTTCTGTTGTGTTTTCTAGACCTGATTTTTAATTTTTGACCCAAGTATCCCTTTATGATTTTAGGTTATTGACATTTCTGAAATGCTTTCTGATTATCTTGCAAGTATCAACTTTGGTGAGGTTAATAGATCATCAGAATGCCTTGACAAGGTAAGCTTCTTCCTATTGAATATTAGCCACAATGTTAGTGGAGCAATTGTTATTTGAAACTTGTCTGATTTCAATCATTAATCTGTCAATTTGATCATTGCTTGCACCATTACCTAGGAACAAACCAATAAATTATCTGGACTGAAGGGTGACAATGATATTGATTCTCCAAGTTCTTTTCAAATAAATGGTGCCAAGGGAAAAGGATTTAAAGGGCCATCCGGAAGGTGAGCACCTGAACTTTGTATTCTACTTGTAGCGTGCAAGGGCATATCTTGGTTGTATTGTCCGTTTCCAAATCTTTCAAGTTAAATTTCACACATATTAAAGATTCATTTTTCTTTGGACATCTGGCGAAATTTATTTACGAAAGAATAAATTGTGGTCAATTGTCTCCCTGGAAATTGTGAATATAACGTTTCTCTGGAAATTTATTTTCAATCATTAATCTTGAAAATCTTCCTTGGTTGTATATTCCAGATGTATTCAAGTTCTTTCCAAGATCATGGCCTAGTTCACTACTTCTAGTGGAATGATGTGTAGTCATGTGCTGAGTATTTTTTAATTTGATGATCAGGAGATTGTGAGATATTTTTGCTGTTCTACCCTTGCCTCTGTCATGATAGTGGAGTCTTTATGCCATGTGCATTCTCTTAGTTTTGTTGGGAATCAAATGCGTATCATTAAGCTTGTGAATATCCCTTTACGTTTTTCCTCCCCAGAATCCGAGCTTCTCTTCAAACGCATTTACCCACCGCATTCAGAAACTGACAAGTGATAAGCATGATTATTGTCACATATGTCTCGACAACTTGGGATATGGTGCATAGAATTTTTTAACTTCATATTTCATATTGACTCCTAACATGTCTAGTCTCATTTCTCCTTTCATTGCCAACGTTTATTCTTTTCTTTTCGATGTGTCCATCTTAAAATTCTCAATCCAGTTTTTCTGGTATAGTTGCTGTGGTATTTCTCAATAGTCCAACACGCTACCTGCACATTATAGCCAATTCCCAGTTGTTTTTAATGTAAATTTCTTTTGATGTCATTGAAATACAATGGTCAGGAAGTGTCCACTGAGTCAGTCTTTCCTTTAACTAAGCACTACACAGTGTGAGATCTATATTTTATGATGGTCAGAAAGTGGTCAGTATGCTGACAACCATTAACCTTTGTCTGAGATCTACGCTTTTCTCTCCCCATGTCAGTTACCACTGACAAATGAAGTGGATAAACGCGATAGACGAGCTGGCTAAATCGCGCACCTCAAATTGAGACCCCAAATTCAAACTCAAGGGAATACAATTTTAGTTTGCAGAATGCATGGCAGACTGTCTAATATATAAACTACGGCTTAAAATCATGATGTATTTGTGTACTCAGCAAATCACGGATTCTAATGCAGAGAAGAGGAAAGTTCTAAATGTACAGAGTTTACATGTAGGCATCTCTTAGCATTTCCCTATATTATCTTCTTCACGCTATATAATTTGTTCTGTGCTGGTTAGCAACTTTTTTTCTTCTTGTCTGTCCCTTGGTCCCTCATGAAATCTCAGGAATATCTTGTGCTGTACATTATGTTGGAATCCATCGGTAGCCCAAATGGGGGGTATCATGTGCTCAATAAGTTCACTCTACAAATTGAGTGCCACTCCATTTTTGCACCTGTAAAATGATCATTGTCAGCTACTGCCATAGACTGAACTTTTAATCCATCCCAAAGGAGTGTTCTGAACTTTCACAGCACACACGAACAGATTATTGATCTGAAGGAGATTTAGCTCATTGAGTTCATTGTATTACGCAATAATTTACTCTGCTAATCTCCAGAGAGATTAGCTTGCCATGCATCTGCAGCTTCTACAATAGACCCCTCCCTGATTATCCTTCCACCAGGTACTTGGAAATTTGGCTCCTTTATCACCAAGCATGTCTGATCTCTTTGAACTTAAAACGGCATGCAAAATGCAGTGTGTATCGGGTTTTGAGATTGATTTAGAGCTAATTATACTGCACCTTAATCATATTACTTTCATGCAAGGACAGCCTTCTATCTCTTCCCTCTGAAAATCAACCATTTCATTGATTCCAGTAATTCTCATCCATATGATCGTTTGCATATATCATATACTTTCTTTATGATCTCGAAAAGATGGCTACATGCCACCAAATATTTCTCAAAGCCCATTTTCTTTTGCCTTTGTTTGCAGTAATCCAACATCAACCTTTCATCCTTACCAGTTATCATATCTTGCTGCGTCTCTGGGGTCTCTATGCTGCTGCATGGGTTTTGTTCATATCAAGAAGCAAAGATATTATGCTGTTTTAATGATGTTGTTAATGGAATAATTCTATGATTGATTCGTCTTCATGGTTATTGCGTTAACTGATCAAACAGGAAGATTCTGTTCTTTCTATCGGAGAATACTTACTGGTTTCATTATGGGAATATATCGCATGCCTTGATGTATAAGTTGGACTCACTTCAATGGCTTTAGATATTTTGTGTTTGTGTCCTCTTTTTCTCTGCTTTTTGTGTATATTTTTCACCTTTTATGAAAACTATGAATAATAATTTGTAATGTTCATGTGCTACCGGTGGTGGTAATAAGTCGTAATTCATAAATTTTGTTTACTTTGTATCTCACTTGTATCTTTGACATCTGAATTGTTGTGCTTTAAATCTTGGCTGTTTTATGTATATAAAGAAATTTGAAACTTATGAAGAGGTTTAAGTTTAAATTCAAATGACTTCTCAGTTGTTGTATTTATGTTTATATTTTTTTTAAGGAAAGGAAAGGATTTTGAGAGCAAAGCAGAAAAGGGTCCCCTTCTGATCACTGCTGAGCAATATGCTTCTCGTAGTGCTATGTTATCATCACTAACTGTGGCCTGGTCATCAGTATTGAGTTTATCATCTGGAAGTTTCACTAACTGTAAATATGCTGTACTGGCTGTTGGAGGGAAGTCTGGTAAAATTTCTTTTTGGAGATTCCGTCAACCAGAGTACTACACCATTGAGCATGGAAGGGTTTCTTTTGATACGAAACTCGTTGGACTTCTTCAGGCACATGATGGATGGATCAATGCCATTAGCTGGGAAATGCTAAGTACGAATCCTTTAAAGCCCCAATTACTCTTGGCTAGTGGGAGTTCTGATGGAAGGTATATTTCTCATGGATGTAGATAGGCAGTCAGTTTTTCGTCCTTATTTGCTCTTTTCCGTCATCAATTGGCTTGTCTGAACCTAATTGTTTTTGTGATAACTATGGCTCCTCAAATGCATATCTATTCTATCAAAAGTCTAAATGAAGGGATTCACTGTAACTTTTCTTAGAATCTTTCATTGGTCGTATCGTACACGAGTTCGCAATTGTTAAAAAAATCACATTGAATAGAAAAGAAATACTTGTCTGAACACAGTAGGACACACCTCCTTCAAAATCACACCAACAAAAGTGACGGCAGGAGCATCACCAGCCACTAACCAGTGAAGGAGAAAGGAAGGATAAAGTGGGAAAGATACAGCAGGGGAGGAAGCGAAAAAAAATCCATCTTGGAGCGAAAAAAAAAGGGTGCCGGGTTGTGGGTTGTTCCTTCGCAGTGGTGATGGGACTAACCTTGACACTATCCCTTGATTTAGTTATGCATTTGCTCAATTTTGACAAAACAATTGAAGTACATAAAGTTTATCCTTGATTTTATCTATTTACGTTTAATTCCTCGTCATCACCTGCCATCATGAGGGCATCAGTTATTCATAGCAGAGAGTGCTTTAAATGTTAGTATCGCAAAAATGTAGATCGAACAGAAAAAAAAAATCAGATGGTATTGATAATAGTATGAAAATTGCATGTCTCAGACATACAGAAGTTGATCTGTGGATCACGTTTTCATTAATATAGCATGCCTTTTGTCTTTTCAATGATAGTCAGGGAACTGCTATGATTCAGTGATGCAAATGTCCCAGTCAATCCTATTCTCTGGAATATCTGTGAATCCATGTAGAAAAACAGAGGCCTATCGGAATACCAGTGAAGACACTAGATTTGTTGCTAGATATTCTATTCGGTTGTGTTAATGAAGCACAACCTATATAAATATATCCGCATCTTTGATATCATTTATATCTTAAACAGTATGTGTGTGGAGGTCAATGTTTTGAACTATTCTTTAATTTTTGTCTTTATTTATCACTGTTTGGGGCTTATCTTTACAAAAATTAGAACTAATGTCATTTTGAGCTGCTTTTTTGCAGTGTGAGATTTTGGATAATGGATGGTGAAGAATTAGTCACCTCATCTGTCGTCAAGTTTACTTCATTTCGACTTTTGAAGGAGGTATGAACGTAAACTGCTCTTTAAGTGCTTGAAAATTTTAAGTCATAGCTTTCAAATTATTCTTTCATTATATTTTCCTTATTTTTAATGCTGTAGGTGATATCTGTTACGCATATTCCTATATCGACACTGGCCATGGCTGTTCCCATGAAATCTCCAGATTCATTTGTTTTAGCTATTGGAAAAGGATCTGGTTCACTAGAAGCTTGGATATGTAATGTTTCATCGAGTAAGTTTGAGAGAGTTGGAACCTACAATGCCCATGATCAAGTGGTATGCCCAAATTTCACTGTCTCATATGACGCATACCAATATTCTTAATGATTCTTTTATTTTTTTCCAAAATGGTTGTAGGTTACTGGTCTTGCTTGGGGTTTTGATGGTTGCTGCCTGTACAGTTGTAGCCAGGTGAGACAAATTCTTGATAATCATGGTCTTCAGTGACGATAGTATAATGTTTCATTGTCATTCAGCTCATTTTGAGCCTATCTTGCTGCTTACTGTTATATGTAGAAATTATAATTACTTCGGTTTTGATATAATACTTTACCATCTACCTGACGTGATAGACTGATGGCTGACTGAAGTTTGGGTTCACTTTACAATGCCGAACAGTCAATTCGTGATATAGTATGGTTTGGGGTCAGGGTTCATGCTTATTTTTAGGGTTTGACTTAATCAACTTCGCGCCTGACTCATGACTTAAACTTATCCTTTTCAATGTCCATGATCGGTCAAGGTGATCTACTAAGTGAGACTATTTGTTTCATGTGATTTGATTACGTGGAAAACACACAAACAGAAGTGGCAGCCGAAAATTCAACTCTTCCACAGTTGCAGGTGATAAAGGATATGGGTTCTGGTTGAAGAAGATGGATGACGATAGTAGAGACTCTAGCATTTCACGGAAATCTTAAATGGAACTTCTAGGAGAGCAATGCATTGAGTTTATTTTATAGACAATGAATCAATCCGTCACTAACACTTTTTTTTACTTCAAGTTTGGGTTTAGGACATTACACGGCCACGTTATTGGTCTAGTAGTCTTGAAACGTAGTCAGATTGGATGACATCAGTAAAACTCTTATGAGTCGGTGAAGTCTGTTGTCAGAGTTCAGAATTTGTATAGAAAGGCAATAACTGAATACGTTTTTGGCCAGGTATCACACAAAACTGCTCACCTGTCTAGCTTTTGCTGAAGACTGTAGGAAGTAAGAACTTGCATGGAGATTGATGCATATTTCTCATGGATACTTCGTTTTGTACATCGAGCTGTAGAAATGCTGAAGAATCATCTCTAACCCCTGGTTCATACCAACAAGCATCTATTTGTCTCGAGCATGCATTTGACTCTTATGTTGGGCCTCATATCAAAGGCTGACTCTTGTGGTTAGATTAGGTCAAAGAAATGCGAAGAATATTATTATTTTAAAGAATATCAACGATGTAACTGCATGTACTGACCAAGCTTTTGCGCCTGTTAACAATTATTACTGCCCTTGGTCATCTAGCATTGAAATGATTGTTTGCTGGTATATTAGGTTCAGTTATTTTCAATCTTTCTTCTCTTAATCTCGACAGGATAGTGCAATATATAGCTGGGATCTGTGCATGGGTTCCCAGGATGAAATGCTTTCAAACCCCATGAAGCTCAATGAGTCAATAAAAGTATAAAATCACCTCCGTCCGTTGTTCTATATTTTGCAACTTTTCCCCCGCTCACTTATTATAAATTCTGTTGTAGGTGGCTTTCCTATTGGATCCATGTTTTGGTTTGGTCCTCTCTCCCGGAAATTTGGTGATTGCTGTGGTGAACAGTCTTCCCCTGGCCCTATTCTAATTTAGTCGGAATATTGAGTGGAACTAGCTGCATTTTTATGTTTAGCTTGACTTTTTTTATATTTCAAAAAATTCACTTGTTTTAGTTTGTAATCAGTTTGGAATTGCTGCTATCTTCAGTTCAGATGGAAACAACTATTGGTTCACTGTTTACATGCATGAGATTTTGGATATTGGTGTGAGATAAAGAGACTTTGTTCGTCTATGTTGGCTCCTCCTGCTGTGAATCTTTCATTGGAGAGCTAGGAAATACTAGGAGACTTTGCAAGTTGGAATTGGTCATTCCAATGGGAAGAAGTAGAGTATTCATTCAATATTTGTTTTGTCAGGATGCTCATCAGGGATGTTGCCTCTGTGATAATCAAAACAAGTGGGATTATCTCCATTCCAGTCCTGTAGTGCCAAAGAATTTCTGACCCAATGAAATGTTTCTGACCCACCTCATCAAAGGAGGCTTGATATAGATTTGGCCCACTCTATGATCTGTATAAAAAATCTACAATTTGTCTTACTACAAACCTTCAATGCCCAATTCGATTGATGTGTTTTTGCTCCTGTTCCACTGATATTAATTCATATGCTCATTCGTCACTTGGGCAAACAAGATTCATCAATTACTGATTGTTGTGCGCCGTATCACAGGCGGTGACACCCCAAAACCACCCTAATCTGGAATAGGAAGGTGAAGAAAAAAGACGTGCTTAACTTGATTGACTTTTGGGTCTGGTATTTACACCAGGCCCATAGTACAGGGGTTGAACTGGACCGGTCCAGTCCGGCTCGACACTTGAGCAATAAAGAAAATATTACAAACAAGGAAAGGGAAAAATACAACTTATTCTGACACTCATCGTTGCACAGAGCCATGGGAAACAGCTTGTGTAGCACGCTTGAGCCTCATGAATAAGCTTATTGTAGCATGGGTCCTCAGACAGCAAGCTGATGGGACCCAAGTCTTTGGTTTCATGTACCCAACTATTGAGAATGATACATTATGATTGTTAAATGAATCATACGTTACTTAACAGTCATAGATTATCAAAGAATTTTTTTCCCCCCTGAAAACTGATCAGATAGCTTTGCATTGTCTGTGTCAATGATACATGGCTGATTATGACTGAAACCATTCTCGAAGCACTCATCAACTGAAAGAGTACTAAAAATGGAAAGCTGGAAAACCAACTTTATTCTTACGAATCATCCCATATGGGCTCCTTTCTTCCTTCCCTTCTCCTCCAACTTCAAACCTTGTCACCAATATAATTTCTTCCAGGAGGTGTTTGGGTGTTATTTTATGGTCATCCCATAAATTCCATGGGCTATGCATTATGGACTCGTCTGATGATGCAGGATTGGTAGTTCAAATGTTTTGGGAAGAAAATAAATAAATTTGTAGAAGGAATTTGTCAAAGTTTTTCTTTTCTTTGAGTACCTGTACTAGCTTACAAACAATAACTTTTGTTGATTTGTTGGAATAGTATGAGAAAAATACTTTGCCACGAATCCCCTATAACTTGTTTGAATGATTTGGTTTTTTTTTTTCATTCTTGAGGAGGATTCATTGAACTTTGAGTGCATCATTCCTGGTTCATAATTGTTTATGCTATCTATTCAGTAAGCTAACTGGATATTTCTATTATTTTACAGGTTCGCGGTTTTGACGTTGATCTTCTGAATCCAATGTACCAGGCCCGGTGAGGCTCGATTCCAAACATTCTTCAATATATATAGCCCGGTTCTCTTCTTTCTCCCAAAAATTACATTGTTCTCAGTGCTCCCCAGGACTCAAAAAGCAGCTGTAGAGTTCTTATGGACATGCGGTCCGCCAGTCGATCACACACCGAAGAATCAAACAAACTCCAAGAGTGTTATCGAGGGATCTTCTTCTCTTGCTGAAGGGAACTCTTCGCATTGGAAGTTCAAAATTTTATGGTCACTAAACCAGTATATCGATCCAGAGAAGCCGCTGGTTTTATGGGACATCTTATCTGTGCTACTGGTTTTCAAGCAGACTGCTCCTAGTTTTGTTGAGCAGTTGCTTCTTGAGTGGCTCTCGAGCTGGTTCTCAGACGTTTCTGTGGGCATCTCTATTGAAGATATCCCAACTCACATCCAGACATCCTTTCCGAAGATTAGCATCCGCCTGATTCACCTTCTCAACATAATCTGCAGACGACTAGTCTTGCCTGAGATGAACACTGAAGAAGCCAAAGATGGAACCACTCACAATGAAGCAGGGAAAGTACACTCATGGCGCAAGTTATTAATTCACAGCGAGACCAGAGTGAGGGTTAGGGTTACGACCTTTTCATTTCAAGCTGCTCTCTTTGGTGCCTCACATGCGGCTGAGGCTTCTTCCAGCAGTGGAGTTTGGTCACCAGTTGGGCTAACACAGATGAAGCAGTGGGTCGCTATCAACAGAGACCTGGTAGAGGATCAGCTTCTAGTGCTCTTATCCAAAACTGATGAACCTCCTGGCAGGTACTTACCTAACTTGTTCTAAGTTTTTGGCTTCTCTCTCCAAAAAAAATAATAGCAAATATACCTTTGGAACAATGTTACTACCTCACAGCTCCCTAACATTGATCACAGTTCAGAACTGAAACAAATTTCGTTCCTCCTGTTCTTCTGAGTCCTTGATGATCACCATCATTTTCTCAGAGTAACACAAATATTATTTAATCGCTTATAAATTTGAACTGTTTGTGACATGCCCAAGTTTGTATTTTCAGAATAATCTTCGTAACCATTGCGTGATTGCTATATTAATCCAGTGATTCTTCTCTCCTCTCTCCGCTCGCAGGGCTGAGTCCATCTGTGAAGACGAAGAGGAAGAGAGCTGCGGCTTCTGTTCTTCTCCTGTGGCATTCGAATCCCCTGAATCCGCCATCTGCAAGGCAGCCAGGGGCCACAAGCTCACCCGTTGTGCGGTCTCCATGCAGGTCTCTTCTGTGCACGGCCTCCAGTGGTTCTGCATCTGCTGCCAGAGGTGGGCATCCGTGCTTCTGCCTAGCTCGTTCTTCAGCAGCGACGGTGCCGGCCATGAGATCGGGCGCTCAGCTTTGCTCTACTGTTGCAGACCGCTGTGCCCCTTCTGTGGGATATTGTTGCAGAGGTGCGCTCCCAACTTTCTGCTCTCTGTGAATCCAGTTTGATCATCTTGTAGCATCACACGTTTACCTTATTTCTTGTTTTAAGTGAATAAATAAAATAGTGATGCTGTCCATCCGATTGAGATCGCCCACTATTTTATTTTATTTTATTTTATTTTGGAGAAAGTTGAGGCTTTTCCTCCCCTCCCCCCCCCCTAAGAATAGTGATGCCATTCTTAGGAAAAACTTATTATTATTATTATTATTATTATTTAAAAAGAAGATAATAGTTGGGGAATGTGATCTTGGCCTTGGTTGAGAAGCTTATCGACGGAATGTGATCATATCGTTTACCTTATTTCCTATTTAAAGCGAATAAATAAAATAGTGATGCCATCCATCCGATTGAGATCGCCCACTATTTTATTTTTGTGAAAGTTGAGGTTTTTTTTTTGTTTTTCCTAAGAATAGTGATGCTATTCTTGGAAAAAACTTATTATTATTATTGTTATTATTGTTATTTTAAAAGAAGGAGAATAGTTTGGGAATTTGATCTTGACCTTTGCTTACTGAGGAAATGTGATCATATCGTTTGATCTTATTTCTTATTTTATGTGAAAAAATAAAACGGTGATGCTATCCATCCGATTGAGGTCACCCACAAATAGTTTGGACACAGTTGCCTTTTTGCCATCTCCCTCTCTCTCTCTCTCTCTCTCTCTGCTCGCTTCTGCCCGGAATTTCTACTGTCTGTCTTTCTCTCTCTCTATCTGCCACGCTTCTTCTGCCCGGAATTTCTACTCTATGCCACTTCTCTCAAACATCTCTCTTTCTCCGAGTTAAGCCAAGGTAAGAGGGTGGGAATCTTGGGTCCATGAGAGCTAAATCTGAGGGGCGTTCGCATAAGTTCAGTTGAATAAGTCAGCTTTGATAATTCAGTACTGATGAGCTCGATCTTTCTCTACCATTTTTTCTCGACTGCTTCATGGTTAGATCTTTGAAGTTGACTAAGTTTCTTGTGGGTCAACTTTGTGCGATTCAAGTCATCATATATATTTATATATATATATTTATTAGACCGAGTCCTATCCCCTCCTTTGCCCCCGGGCGGGTTGCTTGCACAAGGAAGATACAAGTTTGACTCGGGGGCACGCGTGGACTCGTTCCTTTTCTGTTTTCCGGATTAATATATAAAAACAAATCGTCAGGGCGGATTACAGAAATATGTGAATAATCCCCACCTTCGGCCACCTTCCCCATCTTCCACGGAACCCTCCTCTTAATTTCCGGAAAAAAAATACTTCTTTTACCTCCTTCCGACAAGACCCAACCACTCTCTCTCTCTATCTCTCTCTAAAAATTGGTTCTTTCCCCCCTTCTCTCTCTCTCTCTCTCTCTCTCTCTCTCTCTCTCGGTGATCGGGCGAGGGGTTCCCTCATCTGCTCCGGCGAGATGAGGAGTCCTCTCCAGGGCGGCTCCTCCGCCGTGCTCCTCCCGCTCCTCGTCTTCCTCCTTGTGGGATCTCTTCTCCCCGGCGGCGCACGGTCGGAGCCCCCGCCGGACGACGGCATCCGCCTCCCCTCCGACGGCGGGGCCGTCTGCCCGTCGCTCCCGGAGCCCGCGGCGTGCCCCGTGGCGTGCTTCCGCCCTGATCCCGTCTGCGGCACCGACGGTGTCACCTACTGGTGCGGCTGCGCCGACGCCGCCTGCGCCGGTGCCCCCGTCGCCAAGCTAGGGTTCTGCGAGGTCGGCAGCAGCGGCGCCGGCGTCCTCCCGGGCCAGGCTCTCCTCCTCGTCCACCTCCTCTGGCTCATCGCCCTCGCCTTCTCCGTCGTTCTCGGCCTCTTCTGACCTCGCCGCCGCCAAAGCCTGGGGATTGTCTCCTCCAATCTCTCTCTCTCTCTGCATCCCCATGACCCCATTAATTTTCAGGGAAGAGATGCGAGATCTGTGGATTCTGGCACTCACATTCTGCGTCTCTTCTGGATTTTTTTGTACTGCGACTGTGATTAATAGCAATGCATCTCTCTTCTTCATTGAACTCGGTAGCTTCCATCCGGAGATGTGGGGAGAAGGTCGGCGCAGATATCATCATCATCTCCATGCTGGTAACAATAATAATAACAATAATTGATAATATGGGCGAATAATAAGCTTCAAGAACATGCTCGTCTCCTTTTCCCCCCCCCTAGATTTACATCTTTCATCCTAGTTTCCATATCCGAGGCCACTGATTGCAGGGCCGATCTGTTCGGAGCCAATCGCCAAGAATTGATCTTATAATCTATGAAACACTATGAGGGATGACAAGGGATGAACTCTCCGAAAATAATTCGCATATAATATTAGAGGAGAACTAGCATATCGCAATTATATGAATCTTGATCTTCATTGTTTCTTCCTCTTCCCCCCCTCCAATTTTCTTTTTTTAAAAAAAAAAACACCCTGATGGCAACAATGTGCGTGGGATAAGAGCTTGATCCAATCACTAGCACGGGTATTAATTTCACTCCAAGATCTCCACTAGATGATGGGTGGGTTCATGAAATTCTTGACTGTTCTTAAAACTAGGTCGATCTCTGCTGTAGGATTAGCAGCATGGAATCAGATGGAAGGATTACCGTTCAAACCAGGGAAATTAATTGGCAGATTGATCAGAATAAGTGCTAAATCAGATTCACAAACATTGAGCTACATACTTAAGGTATACTTAATGCAATCTTATCATTCCTCTCTAATCTACCCCCGTCCAGATCATCTGACGAATTGGATCGAAAAAGGGATGATTCTTCTATATCCCATATAGAAGCTTACTGTTAATGATAATAATCACAGCAGTGGTTTCCAAATGGAGACCATAAGAAAGTCTTCATTCTGACTGTCTTTTGATCATACTAAAGAAATGAAGAAAAAAAGATTCAATCTGACTAGAGTTGAGCCCAGTCCTGGATCATATGAAATTTACCCAGAGACCCAAAATGTCCAAAAAATGTAATTTTTTTTATATATCTTGCTGTTTATGAAAAATTAATTAATTTGGGTGGCCGAGCTCCTCTCTCGTCTGAATAGTTTTCATATAATGACACATAAAGGGCGGGGGACTATTAACCAGCTCAGGATTTGCAGTAATTTTTGGAATCTACACGAACAGGAGCGAGTCAAGGATTTGGACTTACAGTTGATCATCGTGGAAGAGAAGCTGTTGAGGATTTAGTCATCGCCATTCTTCCCCAACTTCATCGACGCCCTCTGGAACCTCGTCCTCTCGATCTCCTTCTCCAGGAAGTCCAGAATTGTGTCTGTGACGTGGTTCGGTGAGCAGCCCGCGTCCAGCATCATCCTCAGGAACCTGTAAGCGTCTCTCACTCTGCCCGCCTTGGCGTGGACCTCGATCAGAGTGTTGAAGGTGACGACGTCTGGGTTTATCCCTTCCCGGGCCATCTTCTTCAGCAGCTGGTTCACCTCCTCCATCCTCCCCGCCTTCCCCAGAGCGTGTATCAGGGTGTTGTACATGACCACGTCCAGGAAGCCGCCCTTCTTCTTCAGCTGGTCGAGAACGGCGCTCGCCAGGTCCGCCCTCCCCATCCTCCCAAGGCCCTGGAGGATGAGATTATATGTGGCGATGTCGGCGGGGCAGAGCTTGCCTCCCATCTCTTGGAGGAGCCCCCATGCTGCATCGAAGTACCCCTTCTTGATGAAGGAGCTCATGAGGGAGTTGTAGGTGTAGCTCACAGGGGCCCTGCCCAACTCCGTGAAGATCTCGAACAACTTGCAGGCCACGCTCAGCTTCCCCTCGGCCAGGAAGATGGACAGGTAGGTGTTGACCATGTCGATGTCGAAGGCTTTGGCCCCTCCTCTCTGGTGCACCCTCCTCCCTCTGCGCACTGTGAAGCTCGAAAAACCTTCCATGGCCTCGGTTCTACTGGCGAGCTTGTCCATGGTTGGGGATGAAGACCACTCTTCGTTGCAGTCATCACCGGAGCGGGTTCCTTGAGTATCTTTTTCTGCTTCAGGCGGCGGCTTCGGCCAACCCAGGACGTCTGTGAGATCGCCGGCGGCTGGAAACAAGGGGGTATGGTCTGCTCTTCTGCTCTGATGCTGCCTCATCGACGCTTCCATGGCCGTCGTCCACCGGAGGACGGATGGAACCAGATTGCTATCTCTGACATGCTTCATCAGGCGCTCCGCCCAGTCCCATCTCCCGCACTGGTGCAGCCCCACCAGGAGAGCCGACACAGTGAGAAGATCCACAGTGAACCCTCTGGCCTCCATCTCCTCGACCAGCTCCAGCGCCCCGTCCACCTGGCCCTCCCTGCACAGCTGCATCGCCACCGTGCTGTACGTGACGGCGTCCACGAACTGCCCCTTCTTCTTCAGATCGCAGAACAGGGCGAAGCCGGCGGCGGACCTTCCGTTTCTGAACAGGCCGTCGATCAGGATGTTGTAGGTGTAGCAGGAAGCTCGGACGCCTTCGGAGACCATCCTCTCAAAGAGCTGGCAGGCGTCGGCGAGCTTCCTCCCCTTGAGGAGCCCGCTGAGAAGGGAGTTGTAGAGCAGAGTGTCGGCCCGAAGATTGTTGTACTCCAGCTCCCTGAAGATCCTCACCGCGTCGTCCACGCGGTAGACCTTGCAGCAGCCATGGATCAGAGCACGGTAGGTGAATCGGTCGGGTTCATGGCCGGATCCCTTCAGCTCCTCGTAGACGGCGAGGGCGTCGTCCACCTTCCCCGCCGAGCACAGCGCGTGGATCAGGGAATTGTAGGTGCAGATGTCGGCGGCGGCCTCCGGCAGCCCCTTCTCCTTCATCTCCTTGAACAACTTTAGGGAGAAATCCAGGCGGCCCCAGCATCCGAATGCGTGGATGCAGATGTTGAAGCCGCAGGTGTCGAATCTGAAGCCTTTCTGAGCCAATGCGTCGAACACCTTCACGAAGTCGTCCCTCATCTCCGCCCTCCTCAGAGCTACCAGGAGCTCGTTGCAGGCGAGTCGCTCAAGCTCCGAGGAGGTCTCGAGAAGCTTCCAGAACATGGAGAGCGCGAGACCTAATTGGGACTTGCAGATCAGGGCGAGGACGATGGAGTTGTAGATCCGGGGGTGGAGGGAGAAGCCGCCGCCACCGCCGAGCTCCTCCAGATCGTCGAGGACTGCGATGGCGGCGTCCACGCGGCCGGATCGGATCAGCGTGTCGAGCACGAGTTTCAGAGTGTCGGGCTCCACGCCGGTGGAGGACGAGACGGCGAGGCGGAGGATCGGCCGGAGGTCGTCCAGGAGGCCCGAGCGGCAGTGCGAGCGGAGGAGCTCGGAGAAGGCGGCGGCGGAGGGGGTGTAGTGGGGGAGAGAGGAAGCCCATCGCAGGAACTCAGCCTTGGCCGGCGGTTGCAGCGAGGAGCGGCGGAGGACCTGGAGCACAACTGCGTCGGAGACGTCTGCGGCGGCCTCGACGAGCACGGCGCCGCCGGCGGGCCCGCGGGGGCCAGAGAAGGCCTTGCAAATGGAGGCGACCAGCAGGAAGCTCCCAAGCTCGTCAGCAGCAGCAGCAGAAGAAGAAGAAGTAAAGGAGCGAGCAGCGAGCGAAACCGCGATGGCGGCTCGTCCTCCATGTTGCATTTGCAGGAGGGGCGTCGCATCGCCGGGGACTGACTGGCCGAGGAAGGAGGGCGAAGAGACCCTGTCCTCTAAGAGCCCAGCAGTCTGCTTACCGGCCCTCACAAGCCCACAAAACCAACAGAACGGCCCACTTCAGACGACCCACACCCCACTATGTCAACGCCCACCACGTTGTGGGTCAACGCCAAGTATGAGGTCAAGATGTAGTTCAAATCCAAGTAGGGAAAGGGGTTTGAATCTATTTTAGCAAGGTACCAATTCGATTTTAATGTTAGTATATTTTTAATCTTCTTTTCTTATGCAAGGTTAAGTGTAATATTAATGAGCCTGAGAGAAAGATGAGAAAAGGTCAACTAGTTGAGGCATAACCTTATAGTGCTTTGGCTGGTGGAAGTTTAAATGCTCTTCTCAAGAGATTCTTCCTTAAGTTGCACTAACAACTACTTATGATTATAGTTGACTTTTTCAGATTAGTAGCTCCCTACAATGTATAGACTACTTTGAGGAGTATGTGTACCCTACTAGAAGTCAACGTTCCTAGACACCATTTACAATTAACCAAGCACACCACATCTGCTTCTTATGAGAATCAACAAGCATAATGAAGGTGTTTTCCCTTATTATGCCCATTGAGTGCACACAACAAGTACTTAGTCACGATAGGGAGTGGGCATGCTACAAGTGCTCTTCACAACACAAGATGAGCACACTAGAAGTCAATGTTTCGAGCCACCATCGACACTTAACCAAGCACACTACACGTGTGCTTCCCCAATGTCACAAAGTGCACAACATGTGTTCTTTATGAGAATCAATAGGCATGTTGTCGGTGTTTTATCTTATGCCCATTGAGTCACACAACAAGAAGTGAGCATGGCTCAGGTACTACTATTCACAACACAAAGATGGACACACTAGGAGTGCTCGTCCCGATAGGATGTCTCAAATCATTCAATCAAGGATTGAGATTGAGGAATACTGTCAGTGTTAAGAGGAGTATTGGTTGGTTTGGATGACAATTAAGTGGAGTAGATTGATTAAAAGATGGTTGGGAATTGAGATTCACACTCAAGTGTGTTAGAGTTCTTCAGGGGCTTTTGGTTGGAGAAGGATGAGGAGGATGAAGGATGTCTCTATGCTTCATTTCTAGCATGTTTTTCTTCATGGTTCTAGGACTTTCTTTGGTGTCCTAATCAAGTAGCCATTCACATTGGGCTGGCCCATTTACTTGAATAGCTACTTGGTGTTGGGACGTGATGAATTATGTGCTTCAACAACCAGTTGATTTTGGGCCAAAACATCAAACAATGGACTTAGCCTTTAGGATCAATAAGTCTCAAGTTAATGAATGGACTAGGCTTACAGGTTGAATCGAACAGTGCGTTTGACTAATTTTGGACCATAACTACTTTCCTTAATGCATCTATGCAATAATATACCAGATCATGTAGCATTCAAGTTTTTTGGTCTAGTTAAGTTCATCAAAACCGAATTTTCTACTCAATTTTTCAATATCACATTGGTCTCTAGTTTGATTTCATATTTTATTCTTTATGAATTTTCTAGATTATCCCTCACATCATCAAAAACTGATTTAACTCTGTAACTTGTTGTCTAGTTAGAATGCCCCTTTGGGTACTTGAGCACTTTTTTATGTATATATGAAATATATATAATAAATAAATTCATTAGCAATATAGACCAAATATAACCCAAAAGAAGCTCATTTGGGTATTTTCCCCTTCTTATTATTGACACTTTAGGAAAAAATAGCCGAAAAAAAATAATATGAAAAAGTCCATTTCGGGGCCTTCTTTCTTGCCAAAATACGCAACAAAAACATGCCCATTTTAACTTTATCACAGAAAAGGGTAAGAACATGGCGGCATGTTCCAACTTCATCCTAGGTATGATCGGCTCCTGGGAGTCAATGAGGATGTAAAGTATCACAATAAATCCAATCCATTTTACCAATGAAAGCATGGCTACTTGATTTTAGGGCCTTGTTTTTTCTCTCAAACTATGCAATGAAAGCATGCCCACTTCATGTTCTGCGCCGCTGGCTAAGAAGAACACTCGAGGTTGAATATAAAAAACTCATCTTGGACCTTTGCAATATATTTGTGGATCGATTAGGGTTTAACATATTCCCGTTTGGGGACCTTTTTTTTCCTCTCAGACCATGCAATGAAAACATACCCACTTCATGTTTTGCGCCAGTGGCTAAGAAGAACACCGGTCATGATATTCCTGCACACTCCTGAGCATGTTTGATTATAAATATTATAACTACTCATCCATCTTTGGGTTGTGCAATGTAGGCGTGCCCATTTCCAGTTTTGTGCAGATGGCTAGGAACTTGGGCTCGATTGGGTTGTGCGCAAGCAGCTGGAGTTTAATGCTACCATGATTTATGTGTGGCATGTGGGAAGGGGAGCTTGCAGAGGAAAGAGGGAATAAAAATACAAGCTCGAGGACAGGCATCAGAGCGAAGTCCATGGTTCTTGGAAAACAGACAACCCGGCGGATCAAACAGACGACCCATGACAGAAACCAGGGAAGAGAGGGAGAGGGCGCACCTAGAAGCACTTCCTGTGGACAATGGCCGGCCCAGACTCGTCGTACTCTGCCTTGGATATCCACATCTGAAGAAGCACGACAAGCCCGGGGATAAAAGGGGTGATCAGAAGGAAGAGGAAGAGCTCGAAAGGAAGGGAAGGGAGTGTTCTTGGTTGTTACCTGCTGGAAGGTGCTGAGGGACGCGAGGATGGACCCTCCAATCCAGACGCTGTACTTTCTCTCGGGCGGGGCCACGACCTTGATCTTCATGCTGCTCGGAGCGAGGGCCGTGATCTCCTTGCTCATCCGGTCGGCGATGCCGGGAAACATGGTGGTGCCGCCGCTGAGCACGATGTTGCCGTAGAGGTCCTTCCTGATGTCCACATCGCACTTCATGATAGAGTTGTAGGTCGTCTCGTGGATGCCAGCAGCTTCCATGCCGACGAGGGACGGCTGGAAGAGGACCTCCGGGCAGCGGAACCTCTCCGCGCCGATGGTGATCACCTGCCCGTCGGGCAGCTCGTAGCTCTTCTCGACGGAGGAGCTGGACTTGGCCGTCTCCAGCTCCTGTTCGTAGTCGAGGGCCACGTAGGCGAGCTTCTCCTTGATGTCGCGGACGATTTCCCGCTCGGCGGTGGTGGTAAAGGAGTAGCCCCTCTCGGTCAGGATCTTCATCAGAGCATCCGTCAGGTCCCTCCCGGCAAGATCGAGCCGGAGAATGGCGTGAGGGAGGGCGTAGCCCTCGTAGATCGGCACAGTGTGGGTCACGCCATCGCCGGAATCCAGCACGATGCCTGAAGAACAGCCCAGTGGGATTGAAACGATGAGGAACCGTTGAAACCAGAAAATGAATGTCCAGTTTCGAGACGAAATCGCATCCTTGAAAGCGGTCGTTCAAATGACATAAAAAGGACTACCAGCGAGGAGCATGAAGCACAATAGACCAACAATACATCATCTATAAATTTAAACGTGTTCATGAAAACCATATGTTTACATGAATTTAAGATGGCCCATTCGAGGAGCAGAAATGTTCAATTCTCAGGGAAAGCAGACGAGAGTGCATAAAAGCCACTGCTTTAAAATATGCATGACCAACATTAATCTTCTGAACCAAACCAGCATTTTGGAAACCATAATGTAAATATTTATACATACCTATATATATATATATATATATATATATATATATATATATATAGATAGATAGATAGATAGATAGATATATCGAGATGTGCTAGTTGGATGAATTCATAAGATGCCGGCTTAAGCTGGTTAAGTTTACCGAATGATTTCCTCACCTGTTGTTCTGCCACTGGCATATAGAGAGAGAACGGCCTGAATTGCGACATACATGGCTGGGACGTTGAAGGTCTCGAACATGATCTGTGTCATCTTCTCTCTGTTGGCCTTGGGGTTGAGAGGGGCTTCAGTGAGCAGAACAGGGTGCTCCTCTGGGGCAACTCGCAGCTCATTGTAGAAAGTGTGATGCCAGATTTTCTCCATGTCATCCCAATTGGTGACGATTCCATGCTCAATTGGGTACTTCAACGTTAAAATTCCCCTCTTAGATTGGGCCTCATCACCTACATATGCATCTTTCTGTCCCATGCCGACCATGACGCCTGTGTGGCGAGGTCGTCCGACGATACTTGGGAAGACAGCCCTTGGAGCATCGTCTCCAGCAAATCCAGCCTGTTAACATAAGATTGCAGAAGTTTACGTAAAGAGGAAAATAATTATTAGGAACTGGGAGTGTTGGGGAATCTCCAGGAATCGTTAATTACCTTGACCATTCCAGTTCCATTGTCACAGACGAGGGGCTGAATCTCTTCAGCCTCAGCCATGGTACGAATTTAATCCTGTTCATGAACAAGAAATCGGTAATCGATGGTGCAGGTACCGCACTTAAATATAAGACTCAGAAATCGCATGCTTTCGGTCTGTTTTTCTGTAATAATAACGATGAAAATACTTGTAAGATAATTGAAGAAGATGGGACGGTCATGCAATCCACGTTGTAGGAAACAAAATGAACGTAGAAATCAACGGGGTACAAGGCGAAAATTTTCAAATATAAATGGAAATCAGCGAGTACGCTTGCTGTGATATGATTTCGAAAATGAAAAGCAGGCGTTTCCAAGGCCCACATGGTATTATTAAGATCTGTCCATCGTTTACGATGATAATCTTCAAAGAGGACTAGCAGAAAAACTACCTCTGAGCAGAAAGCTACAGGTCCGAAAGCTAGAAAGTCAGACAGGAAATATGCACCCCGTTTTCGCAAGATAAATAACGGAAAACAAGCTCAAGGTAAGGGCGTCCATCGGATCCCCTCCAAGAGAGCGAAGTGCACGACCCCGAAAAACAAAGCATATGGGAAACAGCCATTAGTGCCAAGAAGCTGGCGCTTCGGGATCGCACAAGAAGGATTGAAAGACAGTCTCCCTAGTAGATTTAAGGCTGATATACAACATGCAAGAAGATCGGAGGACTGGTCATAGCACCTAGAGTTCGAAAACCACGAAAAACAGGGAAAGCACCAGGACAAGCTCTAAGAGTACGATCAACGTCACAGGATCAAAGAACCAGCAAGCTCAAACGCTCATCAGCGCGACTATCTCTAGTTCCCATACCTCTGCAGGAGGTCTCTAAGGGGGCGGTGGCAGCGGGAGCCGGCGTCTCCTCTGGAGTCGAGTGGGGAGTGGAGAGCAGGAGAAGAAGACGCTGGAATCTGCTTTAACGAAGCCAATAAATCAAGACAGAAGGCTGGAAGACGGAGGGCGGTGCCCCGATCGCGTCGCTCTGTAAAGTTGCGGAGTAGGCGAGCGGTATCGTCACCTCCAGTCCCACTCCCACGTGTAACCCCTCTCTGCTCTCTTTCGGCTTCTTTCACCGCCCCTGACGTGGATATTCCACCCTTTTTTACGAATACCCAAATTTTTTTCTTTCAGTAATCATCAAAGTAGTATTTTCAAAGTGAGAGAGTCCGTGGACCTGTTCACCCGGCCCGAAGGCATCTATTCTTCCCGCTCTCCACGTTCGAACGCAACCGGGCTTCCCAGCCCGGCCCGTTGATATCTCGAAGTATAATTTTTTTAAAATAATATATCACCAAAAGGAAATTAGTAATTTATATTAATATTTATTTGGAGAGAGAAAGAGAGAGAGCGTAGAAAGGCCGCCAGCGTGGTTGGTGAGCCGGCCGGGCCGGCTTTCCATCAAGCTCGTTCCTTTGATTAGACGGCAGGCTTCGGTTTTGCCCCCGCCAGCCGTGGAATTTTCTGGAAGCACGATGAGAGAGAGAGATAGAGAGATATATAGACAGAAGGGGGGAGGGGCCTCGGGTTTCGGTGGGGTGACGTGTCAGTGGACCGGACACGTGTAAATAGTTGTCATGCTTAGCTGTCGTCAGGCAGGCTGGTTATCTCCGGCGACGTGACGCTTTCCGTCCACCTTTTCTTTTCCCCGCTCCTTTTTGCTTTTCTATATATATTTTTTAATTTAGCTGACGTGGCACAAATGATCCCCTTTCACACGAAGCCAGCTTAATTGATCATTTTCATCAATAATTATATTTTTTAACAAAATTATGGGTCTCCTCTTAATTTATTGGTTCTCTCTCTCTCTCTCTCTCTCTCTCTCTCTCCCCCCCCCCCCAAACTTGGATAAATCATTTACGTGGCAATCAAAAGATCTGATGATCATGACTCATAAGTTTTCAAAAATGGGGTGGTTATATTAAATTAATTAAATAAATTAAAATTTACATTATTGTTTGACATTATTGAAGAGAAACTCTTCCCAACTCTAAATAAAGTAAAGAGGTTGTACCTCTCCTAGGCCTCCTTTTTATGACTAGAGTTAACTATGGTTAAGAACTAAAGTTTACTATAGTTGAGACTAACACAATTGACCTCTCACTTTATGAAACCAACTCCACATGTGCAAGTGGGTCAAAAATAAATGGTATTATGTAATAAAAGAAATTAATTACTTTTTTCTAAAAATTCACCTTAAATAATTTGAATGTTCAATAATTCATTGATTGGGTTCAAAAGTAACTTTTTCTTTGCATCTTACCATTTATTTATTAGTGATGGCAATTACAATTCAATGGATATTCAATTTATTTATTTTAACATTTAATGTTTAATGATTAAACAATGATAACCCAACATTAGTATAAGGTTTAAAGTGTAAGGATCCTATGCAAAAACTATGAGTCACCATCATTAGGACATGAATGGCTTGAAATATTTTCCTAGAAGCTCCTAAAATAAAAGATATGTCTATAAATTAATTATGAGAATTTGATTATTTAATGCTGCCTTTTTCACTTCAAGTTGAAACATTATAATTTCATTTTTTGATGATTATGTGATGCCACTAGAGTGCACCACATAGCATTTTTGACTTTAGGCTGCACATATTTTGATGATTATGAAATTAAAAAATCATTACATTCAATAAATGATATGTCAAATTATGATGATATTTATAAATGAATATCAATTTTCTATATATTTATTTAGATTAGTGATCATCTTCATGAATATTTCATACAAATATATGAAATTTAATATAATATATGTACAAAAATAAACAAGCTCTCATTTAATGAATGAGTTATTTTCTTAGTTGTCCTCTCAATTTACTTACCAAGCAAATCCTTATTTTGAATTTGAGACATTTCAAAGGCAAAGGGTTGCTTACTATCTCAAGTTCTCTTCATAGCTTTTGAAACTTTAAGTTTATTATATGAAAAAGTTCTTAGTTGAACATAATTAAATGATTAATATTTCAACCATAACAATAATATTGATGCATCAAATTCAAAAATAATGAGATTAATGATGCTCATTTTATTATTCAATAGATTACATCTTAAAATGAGCAACATATAGCATGTATAGGGAAAAAAATGAAGAAGTATAGAAGATTAGATTTAAAGATTAACTCCAAACTTCAAGACATGTCCAAAAGAGGGAAAGCAAAGCAAATGAATAATAGTACAAATACTTGGAAGATAAGTTTTGTTAGCTGCATCAAATCATTCTTCCAACTTTTCCACTTCCTCCATTCAAAACCAAGATGAGAACATAAATTTGGATATTTGCTTAGTTCAGACATAAATGATGTACTCATGCTTCAAATCCCCCTTTTTACCACATATACCAATTAGAAAGAATATAGCTTCAAAAATACTATGCTCAAGTTTGCTTGATCTATTTATTTTTTTCGTAAATATCATCAACTTTTCCTTATCATTTCTTTACGTCTTTTATGTTGAGCTTGAGAAAGCTCAAGACTCCATCTTTGTACCTTAACTATACATCCTTAGTCAAAAAGTCGATTGAAGTTAGAACATGGGAAAAAATTATAAGAAGGCACCTAATACAATAAACCACTTATCAAAAGGAGAAATGTGAACTCATGAGCACCAATTAGTGCTTTAGCTTTATCTTGGCCATGGCTTGGGTTGTCTAGAATAAAAAGATTTCCTCAAATAAGTTTCCAACCTCTAGAAGACCCTTCGTTTACTCATCTATTTGAGAGTGGCATCAAAGGTATGTATTTCAATCAACTCTTACACGAATAAGTAAGCTAACTTATGAATTTTATCTTTGCTAGATGGGTTGAAGGATGCAATGTAATTTCACCATTTTATCAATGAAAAGTGTGACCATTTTCTTAGCTAAATGTGGATGGGAGACTAATATGAATTGTTCACATTAAGACAATCTTCTTTTACTAAAAACTTTCGCTTGACCTTAGTGTTATGGATAACATAGCATGTTATTCACATGCCAACACAACATGTGCAAGAGTGCACTTTAGTATGACCAACATGTGTAGGGATTGCATAGAGGTGCATAAGTGCACATGACAAAGACAATTGACTCTATCAATGTAGAGGTGAGGTTCCCGCGAACTTTGATGCTATTGTGCACTCTTGCATAATAGCATCAAAGTTTGCCAGGTGCAAAATTGATAGGATAGTGGTGCAAGACCAAAGGAAGAAAGGTTTATAGAAGCATTTGGTGAACTTTGATGGTTGTAGGCATCTCATGGAGAGAGAAGCATCTCAACTAGGCCTAATGTTGTCATAACGGGCAACCAAGTTAAGGCCATTAACTCAAGGTTGTATGTACCATGTGCACATATAATTAATTGTCTATTACCATCAAAGGTATTGGGGACTTTATGGTATTGAAAATATATAACTTTAGTCTTTATTTTTTATTTAGTGTTTATAGGAAAGTATATTTCTGATTGCATAAAATTATTATTATAATTAAAGCTTAGATGGATCAAATTTAAATTTATAACTTAAAAATTAACATAAGAATATGATGATGTGTTGGTGAATGTCTAAGTCAATCACATGGACAATTAGAAATTCAAGCTAGTTGTTAAAAAGGTATAATTGAGAGGGACGCATGTAAAGATGAGATGATTAGAAAGAAATGTCGAGTTGAAGTTAGAGATTGTGATGACTGCATTTTCACAATGAAAACACAGAGATAATTGATGTTGAATGAGAAAACAAAAGTTAACCCTTTCAATAAATGATCCTTAATTTTAAGATTTCAAATTGAAGAGTTAAAAATTGAAATTAAGTTACACCAATGATCAATGAGTGAATTGAGATAATCTTTGTAATTAAATATAATAAGAAATGAAAATCAACAATAAAGAGTCCTTAAACTCAAGTGTGTGAACCACACACACATCCATAAATGTGAGTAGAATGAATACTTCCCAAAGAACCATTCTATTATTGCTGCAGCAGCCATCACCCACAACAAACTTGAGCAAGCTTTACGTTGCATGATGGTGCTCA